AGTGACCAGACAAGAATTTCATTTGTGTTTCAGAAATCTCAGGCATTTTGGACTGCATGTTATCGGGCCCTGAACAGTGCTGATTTTACACTGTTTTCAATGGGGCTTGAATTAATGGACTGTATCCTACAGTTTTACTTTTCATTTCAACTTTTCTATAAAGGAAATGGAAAAGTTAGGAATGTTGCCTTTCCTGATCAGAAGCTGGTACTTTTTTATATCGTGGTACTCGCAGAATTGGTCTACAGTTCTTGCCAAAGCCCACACTAGAGAAAGTACAATGTACCAATCAAAACACAGCCAGACATGTCAATATTTAAATAACAAAAGGGAAATCAGTGTGATTTGTGATCTACATGTAAGTTGCATTCAAAGCCTTTTCTTTGTATAAATGCATACTGTTATTGGTCCAGGGAAAAAAATTAGTTGATGAACTGTCTTGAATTGAGGAAGTAACACAGAGAAATGAAACACTTGTTACAGCTGCATGTATTGCCAGGAGTAAGGACACTGGGACCTGCAGATGTGCACATTTCTCATTTGCTCAAATTGTATATACATGGTGGACAAGACTGACACTAACTTTGAGAGGCCAGATCTGGGCAAAGCAGCACAATAAATGCAGAGGAAATCTGGATGCAAGACTTCACAGGGGATTATCCTTTTGGGCAAATGGAATTCCAGACATCAGTCGCCGTGCAGACTTTGAACATGGTACCCTTGGGCATGGTCATGGCAACACTGCTCTGTCAAGCACACAGTCAGATGTTCTCACTTCAACCACAAGACATGGTAGTTTACGAGGGGAGGGATGTAACAATTACTTGCTGGTCGGCACGAATGACAGCACACCAGTCAAGAAACTGCACTTGGCCAAGACTACGCTGGATCAAGTCCAGTAGCACTAGTGAGGAAACGGAACGGGTTGTTGCTTGTTACACAGTGGAGGACCCTTTCAATCAACGCATGACCACGGGACTTGATGAGAACAATGAACAATACCATCTGACCATCTACAACGTGAAGCCACAAGACAGTGGAGAATATTTCTGTCGAATGTATTATCCGTACCGGTTTGCAAGCCCAGTAACACACGACTCTGCAAAGGCACTCCTGAAAGTAAAGAGGTGGTCTCCACCCATTTGTCAAGTTGTATCCCAACAACTGGGGGTGGGTGCAACTGTCGTTTTAAAATGCAGCCTCTCACCTGATGATCTACCTGGGAACATAACTTGGTTTGAATCCCCGCCAACCAATCAAAAGCGACTTCAAACTTTATGGTTGACACAACCACGGGGTCAGCTTTCAATACGAAGAATCTTACAGGAAATGGACAACATGAAAACTTTCATGTGTGTGGCTGGATTCAATGCGAATGGACCAAATTGCTCGGTAACACCTCTGAACATTGCACCAACTGTTTCAATCTCACCAAGTTCACTGACACTTTTCGAAGGCGAAACAGCCATGTTCACCTGTAACTTAACAGCAATATCCTCAGCAGCTCCAGATAAGTACGTATGGTTTGTGACCAGAGGTGACAGACCAACCATGAGAGTGGATCTAACAACCCTTGACAGCCACAGAGGACTGTACAGTCTCAGTCAAAATGCCAAAAATTTAGAGATTCTTGAGGTATCATCAACTGACTTCAACAATACTGTCATCAACTGTTCAGCATTTCTTGGACAAACACCTTACAGTGGTGTCTCCTGGCTGACAGTTCTACGTGCACCTCTGACGACAGTGATCACAACTCAAGCTGCAACAGAGACCACAGCTACGGGCACTTATAAAGACAACAGTGAGACCACAACTCAGACAACCTCCACAGGGTTTATCATTGGAGGAGCTTTGGTGATCATAGTCCTTGTCATCATCATGGTTCTGCTTGCCCAATACCTGATCAGAAACATGCGGAAGGGTGGAAGACAACAGAGGCCGGGCATTCAAGAATCATCAAGGGAGGATGCAGCTGGAGGCTCCTTGCCCTTGGAGACAAATCCAACTTATGAGAATCTTTCGGACGTTACTCGAAGTCCAGCTGAACCAGCTAGTCAAGCAACTAAAGAGACTGCAGGACACAGGGAAGATTTGTATGCAATCCCAAATAAAAGACGTGTAGACATCCGGCACTTCACTATGACACCGCAGACCAACAAGGCCTCTGCCATCCCTGGGTTTGTGAGTCTTCCTCGCAACTTGGAGCCTGTGTCCTCCTCCGGTAACAAAGACCAAATGAGAGAAGGCACAACCTACGCCAAGGAGAACAAACCCGGAAGGATATATCCAAAACCTGCTCCCACAAAGCCACACTCGGACAGCTCAGCCTCAGTAAGTGATGACATAGTTGAACCTGGATCTCAACGGGAGATAGACGAGTTGGAGTATGCAAATTTGAACTTAGACCATCCTCCTCGAGAAGGGACTGATGCCATCTATGCAAAACCCAACAAAGGTGACAAGGGCCACTCCAAGACAGCCTCTACTCAAGACATCTAAGGTACTTGTACCTGTAGCAATCAGGTTTTCCCCCAATTTCATACAGTATCATGAAACACATACATGTAGGTTAAGCTAAAATGGCTCCAAAATAAACTTCTGGCGAGTAAAACAACAAAGGAAATTCTGTACTGGAACTTCAGCCTTCCTCTCCTGCCAAAATTCCATTAGTTCATTACTCTCTAAGCAGCACGGAAATAAGGGATTTCGATTTTCACTTTTGTTTGTGGGGGGATGAGCAGACACATACTGGTAATTTATTTTATAGACAACTGATTTCGGCCTGGTACGATACAGGTACCATTTTCAAAGCGACAAGTAAAGAGTCTCCGGGAGTTAGCAACAAATTTAAGGATTCACCAAAAACTGCAGGACGAAATCACTGCAACCGTGCAACACCAATTTGATGAGAAATAATTTCAAAGTACACGGTATGAGTTCGGAAAAAGACCTGCTAACTACAAATGTTCATACTGATTTTAAAAATTCCACCAACGTCATTAGGTCAACATAACATCACTTCATATGTGCATGTACATGCATGATTAGGAGTACAGGTGCCACATTCATGTACCCACTGAATATCATTTTGATCAGGCTTTGACTGATACATGATGTGAATATTGCAGTTTTTGATATTGTGGAATCAATTTTTGCAATAATCCACAAATCTACACCTGCAGGTGTACATGAACATGCACAACCAGAGATCTTGCACAAAGAATTTTGCAAATACCTTGTTTTGTTAAAAAGGTGTTTAGACGTAAATGGCTGATAAATAAAGAGGAAATGTAAATGATAGAAAATCATGTGATGACACTTTCATGATGTCTTCATTTTAATACCATCTATGTGTACATTATAGGATCTTTCTCTGGGCATAATTTAATGAATATGTAAGTTTCAAAAGTAACCAAAGTAGCAGCCAGAAAAAAAAAAATGTACAAAGTCCGGGAAACTTATGGGAGAAAAATCACTGGCAGGAAAAGAAATCAGAACTGAAGAATGCCTCTACCACAAGTACATGTATGGAGAAAGACAAAAGGGAAGTCATACCGTGGTTAATATGGGGTTACATATTACCCAGAAACATTAAATAAACAAGTCTGCTTAAAATGAGCAAAACATGCAATCCCTTCCTTGATTGCAGATTCATGTATCTCTGCTGATCTAAAACATCATGCTATCTATAAGCAGAACAGGAAGGAAACACAAACAATTTATATGGACTTGTGATTTGGATGTTCTATATGTACGAGCATGAACATTGTACTCCTACTATTACAATGATGACACAGGGACTACATGTAAGTCATTCATGATAATCACCATCTAGTGGCCACAGCAAGTACATGTTGTACAGGGACCTTATCATTAGGTAGGTACTGACTGCAACCTCATAGCTTGTCTGTCAACAGCTAATAAGAACAAGGATACAATTCATTCTGCACTCATGGAATAAGATTGGATGACTTCAACATGGCCAGAGTGTCTTCACAAATGTTGCCTATTGCATTTGTCATCTTAATTGTGCTGCTTAACAACTGTCAATCATTTACACACCATCCACCTCGTGAGATGGTTGTTGATGAGGGAGAGAATGTAACACTGACCTGTTGGTCTGACTTTATCAACATTACTGATATCAGAGACTGTGAATCCACAAGCACGACAAAGCTCCGTTGGCTGCGGTTTGCAAAGTGCAATACCACAGCTGAGCGAGTTGTTAAGTGTAACACAGCACAGGGGCCTTTCAGCGGTCGCACGATTGTTCGATTTGATGCATCAAACCAGCAGTATAGTCTTACTATCCACAGAACCAGGCCTGAGGACAGTGGAGCATATTTCTGCCGACTCTACTTCTCTTCAGCAGAAGTAACATTCAGTTCAAATGCAGCCTCGTTAACGGTAAACCCACGTCCATCTCAGAATTCCACATGTGAAATACATCCTACACAACCAATGGCTGGTGCACCAGCTTCCCTTAACTGCACTTTATCAAACAAGGATTCGGCTAACCTCTTGGCTAGGCTTGCAAATCTACCGGACTGTCTCTGCCAGACGAGAGGCCAGGTACTGCGTGATACTGCAGACAGGAAGGAGTTCACTTGCGTGGCTGGTCCAGATGTGAACAGTGGCCCTACTTCAACTGTGGCCCAGGACACTACATGTACATTAACCCCCTCCACAAAATCTCCCTCGACAAAACCAACCATCTCTATTGCTCCCTCATCAGTCACCATTACTGAAGGTCAAACGGCAGTCTTCATATGTCATTCTGAGGCAATGACACTATCGACAGTTGATGAGTACACTTGGAGTTTGCACAAAGGTGACAGAACAGAATTGATGGTTGGTTTGTTGACAAAGGAGGAGCAAGCGGGTCACTTTAAACTTGGATTGAAAGGACAAATACTGGAAATTTTGCAGGTGTCGGCCACTGATCATAACAAGTCCATGATAGGATGCACGGCAGTTATGGGCAGTGTGACTTACAGAAGCAGTCAAAATGCTTCTTTGACCGTCATGTCCAGCAACAGAGGGGATTGTGCAGGCATTAATACATCCAACGGGGATTCCACTGTGGTTGCAGTGGGAGCCAGTCTGGGTGGGCTCATCCTTGCGATACCTGCTTTGGTTGCTGGAATCGTCCTGCTCTCTAAGAGAAGGAACAGTCATCTTAGACCAAGGAATGCCAGACCAAGCGTTCAGGAATTGCTCCGGAGAGAGCGGGTCACCATGTCTGTGCCGATAGCTGAGACAAACGCCACCTATGAAAACCTTCCACAGAACGATGCACATCAACTCCAACCATCGCCGAGAAGTCAAACGCTCGCCGAAGGGACTGCAGCACCCCAGGGAGACTTGTACGCAATCCCCAACAGAAGAGGTAAAGACATCCGCCACTTCACAATGACACTGCAGACCAACAAAGCCACGGCTGATCCTGGATTCGTGAGTCTCCCTCGCAACTTGGAGCCTGTGTCCTCTTCCAGTGCCAAACAACCTGGCACGACCTACGCCTAGCTGAGCAAACCCATCAGGAAATATCCAAAACCTGCCCCAGCAAAGCCCACCTCACACAGCTCTGCCTCAACCAGTGATACCACAAGCACTACTTACCTTGGACCACAACCGGAGACAAAAGAACTGCAGTATGCAGACTTGAACTTGGACTGTCCTCCTCAGCAGGAGATTTCTACGACCGATGCAATCTACTCCAAACCCAACAAAACAGGCAAAGGTCACAACGCAGCAGCCTCTAATCAAGACATCTAAGTTAACAACCTTTTCTTTTTTTCACTTGGGTTTAAATGTAACTCATCTTAAAGTGTCAACAAATCACATATCCTGCTTTGACTTACATGTATAACAAGTGTACCAGAAGTTTAGAGTTGGAGGTTGTCCTCTTCCTCTCCGTAAATGTTATGAAAGGCAGAATAAGATAAAACTGGAATTTTTTTCTTTCCTTAGTTTACTTCTTCAAGTATGTATTTGTGGTATTTGTATTGATGTACGTGTGTCTGAGCTCTACACTGACTTGATTTCACTATTACCAACTATTCAGAAAATAAATGGTAAAGGCACACGTTAAAAAAATCTTTAAAATTCCAAGTACATGTATCATATCTTTCTTATCACAAAACTGGGATGAACAAAAAGATTAACATAATAAGAGGTGACATGCTTTGTAAAGATGCTTTTAAAAATGTTTCCTATCCATTACATGTACCTCTAGATGAAATGATTCCTTCTTTATGACCATTGACTTAGTTCAAAACTAGGTGTAAGATGCAGTCATTTGATGAATCGAACCCGTTACTGAAAAAGGAATGACTGACTGATTGGTTTGTACATCACAGCCAACAGTCAGAGCACATATGTAAGTGAAACGAGAACTCCAACTGATTTTTAGTTCAGGGTTTGGGAAGTGGTAGTTTCGGTTTCTCAAAAAAGAACAAAAAAGCCACAATATAAAGACGTAAGAGAAAAAAAAACCACTCTCACAACATGATGGAATGTGGGAAAACCCTACAACTTACTATTCATTAGCATCTTGTCACTGTACATCATGCTACGCATAAACCATATACCAATTATACCCTTTTCCCACTACAAACTGCTTAACCTGGAGATTTGCTCCCTTGAGGTCACAACTGGCATAATCCCTGCCAAAGTACCTTACTACATTTCTATGTTAAGCTTTTCCATGAATCCTATGAAAATCTACCCTTACTTTCATCACATCTCAGGTAATAAACCCAGCCTACAGTCAAATGTACATTGTTGGCATTTGGTATCATGTAACCTATAAAAGTTGGCTACATAATTGGCTTATTTCCTGTCAGGAATGCTGAAAATGAAGACATATTTGTGATTGTGCTCATTTAAAGCAAAGTCTAGGCAGCATATTCAACAGGATGTCTTGCAAATCTTCACACAGGCCTGTGACTAAGTGTTGTGTAGAGTGTAAAAGTTGAACAATGCACAACACATTGATTAATTTAAATGTACGCTAGCTAGATGTACATTGTAAGTTTGTGATAACTTTGTGTTTTAAACATTTACCAAATCCTGAATTTTTGAACAAATATTACAGATACACAGGAGTATTTATTTGAGTGTTTTGGGACTTGATTCAAATTGGAGGTATTTGTGATACTGTTGTGTGAATGAAAACATTCTGGCAAACACTAATCAGTGTTTTTCTGTAAACTGCTGTAAATTTCAAAGTATGCGCCATAAAAGTAGAACAGTAGCGGATATTGGTATGTTGGAGAATTGTACAAATCTGAGTTTCAATGGTCTTAGGCTTTGTCGGTTTGTCTCCTCGTCTGTGTAGTAAGCCTTTTGCGAGTTAATTTGGATCAAAATCTGGTACACTGAGTTCTTAAAATTCACATGAACATAACAACTTGAATTCTCCTTACTAAAACCAATGTTGCTATACCTTGTGATTCAGGGCAAGCTTTTGCTTAGTTACACAAGAGATGCCTTGCAACAATACACTGTTCTCAATGGACAAAAAAAAGGCACAAAGGAACCAGTCCATGCCAGAGATGGTGGTTACTATTCGAAAGCTTGCCCCGAATCACAAGGTATAGCAACAGTGTCTTTAGTCTGGGGCATTCAAATCGTTATGTTTATGTGCAGTCAGATAACTCAGTGCACCAGATTTTATTAAAATTTAACTTTCAAATAGCTTATTATAGCACATGTACATTTACCTATGTCTTTGAATTAAAAGCATGAGCTCAATGCTTTTCTCTGAACCAGGATTTTCTTTTACTAAGCAAGAAACTGTGGAGTCAAGAGTATGTCTACACGTACTGTACGGCGTACGTATGTCACGTAAACCCACACAAGTGTGCATTTGCCTGCAACTGGGGACCCCCTATTGTACCTCTTTTGTTTGTACCACCCATATGTTTCGTACACAGTTGTCAATCAGGGACCCTCTGTCAATCGCGGACCTTATTGTCCTCTGTCGTTCAGGGTCCCCAATTGAATGCAGAAACAAACTCAGAGACACACACGTACTATACGACATACGTATGTCATGCAAACCCAGAGACACAGTCGAAGCTCAGATTTGGAAGGCCACCTTTTGCTTTCTTAAACCTGGCATGACTGCGAAGAAAATGTAAAAAAGCAAAATGGCTGTTTTTCTGATCACATGTACAATATATGAGTAACATGGAGGAAGTTTTGTAGCACATAGGTATATGTATGCATGTCTGCATGTCTTCACAATTTCAATACACAGTACTTGAAAACCCCAAATTTGTTGGCAAACCTGAGCCGAAATTTCTGCTTGTATCGTACCATGTCTTATAAAAATACAATTGTACTTGTACGCGATATTTCATGTTATATACATCTATCTTTGACAGTCCACTGTATCAGTACACGCAAGGATAAAATCTACGAGGAAGTTGATTTTTAAAAAAATAGCTTCCCATTTCCTCCAGATTTTCATTTGTTGACAAAGCAGGAAAAGGCAAGCCAGCATTTTCTACATAATTAGTGGGCCTCTGTGCAGAGACACACAGTTGTTTGGATGTTTGCATGTGGTGTGTGTGAGGAATACGGTACATGTACATGTATGTACTGAGAAATTAAACAGACGCACAGGAAGTCAATGTCCAAAAAAAGGAGGCACCTTCTTTTTACATTTTGAGGAAAAAGGAATGAACATGTGGCCATTGTGCTTAAACCATTTTAAATGGCAAAGCTTTGTACATGAACATACATGGTATGTACAGGTGTACCGATAAATTTTTTTGTACATGTAGGTAATTGCAGCAACAGACATGTAGTTTAGTTGATTATAATTAAAAGTTCTAAAGAATTATTTCTTAATATTATACAGGTATGCATTTCTGAACTGAAAACATTAAATGCACTCATGAGACAAAAAACATGCAATTTTAGTATATTTACAGGACGAGTTTGTCAATGTACACAAATGCAACTTACATGTAGAAGGCTCTCATAAATTATCGCAAAATGGTGGTCTCACGCATGTCTCATTTTGCAATAGCCTACTGTATTTTCCAAAATATCCGGTATGCAAGATTAAGTTTTACAGTGGACAGATGGAAAGGATATCTCTTGTGGGGAGAATATTTTTTCCTAAATATAAGGACAACAATCACACATGTATGAGACATTTTTAGAACTGTGTTCATGTGGGTACATATGCATGTTAAGCTCTACATTTACGGAATGCTGCTACACTTACGTATGAATGCCATTTAATCTGCATAAATATTCCAGATATTTCCGAGACAAACAAAAATAATCAAATATATGTAATTACATGTAGCTGTAATTTAAAGTGCTAACGAAGGGAATGAGCCTTCGTGTATATTCTCATCTGCTTGCAAGTACAGAACCAGTTTTACTCGCTTTCAAACACACATTGTGAAATGTAATCCGTATATACCGGTAATGTAATAACAAATTTTACAGTAATTAGTATTTTAGTAACATTATTACACAGTTTTTCCAATTAGTCTGACTGTGCATCTTCCATTTTGGACACGTTGGGATATCCTGTTTTTGTCGAATCCGCATCTGCCAACTGGTCAATTTTTTCTTCTCAAAATTCCAATGATTTCAACATCATGTTTCTTGATAATGTTGTCTTATTATGACAAGTACTTGGTGTAACAATGAATGTAGTACTAAAGAGGGAGTGTAGATGTAGATGTAGACTCATTTATCATTATCACGCTAGTTTCCAGTAACTGCTTTGCAAGTTATTTGTATAATCAAAATTGTACACTGCTTGGATTTTTTTTCAATGGGTCAGTGGACTTGAAGAGATTTTTTGCCTGATTCCATAACTCTTGGCACTTTCCGTTGAAATGTAAGCGATCTCACCAATTGTTTACTGGATCTTTTCAAGAATTCATATATCTGGTTTGAAATTTAGCATCGCTGTTTGTGGCACGTGTTGTTTTAATATTAACCCTAACCCTCCTTAATCCTTCACCTGTTGGAGGACTGAGGAGTGTTAGGGTTCATGAAGTTGCCAAAATAATATATAAGCGGACATGAGTGAAAAAAATTGAGCTCCCCTTTCAGTGTACATGTACCGGTACGTTTCTAGGACATAAAAAAACAGTTCCACTGGAAGAGTGCGTAATTCAGTTACAGAAGGGTCCAAGGGATATATTTCAACAGTAAATGTATTGTGCAAATTAAGTAAAAACCAAATATGAGGTTTCGGCTCCAAAGTCCGCTTTCCCTTTTGCAGCTGGTACTCTCAGCTTTAGTGACTCAGAAAAAAAAGTTAGTGTTGAGCAAATTCCATGTAAGCGACAATTTGAATTGATGCCAAAATTGGTATCGCCCTTGGCAACTGCAGTTCCACCTTTTTGAGGAATCAAATCCACCAAAATTATCAGTTCCATTTCCCTTTGATTCAATTCCGGAAATGTTGCAAAAAGACAGAAAGGGTTATGCCCTTTTCCCCAAATCGTGCAAAACTGAAAAAAAATAGGGATTTGAAGCAATTTTAAGGCAGCTAACCAATCACGTTAGAGACAGGTTAATATCTAATATTCACAACTTCCTGACAGATGGTAATTTCTTTCATGTTATTTTTAGTGGTGGCAATTTGTATTGATTCCAGGTGGCACTATCATTCCTGGCATTTACTCCAAAAAAGCTGAAATTGTCCAACACCGGAACAAATAATGCAGATATTAGCAATTTAAGGAAATGGCGAAGCTACACAAGTTGTAAGGCAATAATTTTGTTCAATTAAAGAATGCATGCCAAAAAAGTGGCTCTTGTATTTTGTGTCAGTGTCTAAATTTCTCTCCTAGGGCGAGTCCATTATGGCGCTGCTTCAAAATATAACCTTTAACAGTCCCCCTTTTCGGACCATTCCGGGCTGTGAACTTTCTTCACTCTGCCAAGTTTTCCTTCGTATTCCAAGACCAACGGAACGCCAAACCACAAAGGGAGGATGGCTTGGTGGTAGGACCTCTCCAAATGTGCCGCACGGCCACATGTCCAATAAGGGTTGAGATGTTGAGATTGAGTGGAGGGGGGCTAAATCCCGTCTCAGTAGAGTACCAAAATGCTGATTTGTACCAAGTGAATAAATATTTTCTTAGCCGGTCTTAAACGTGCATTTCAAACCGGCTCAGGAGAATGGATGTAACTAATGCCCGAGCCTTGGATTTAAATGTTGGTTAGTTTAAGACCAACCCAAAACATATTTATTCCCATTCAAAAATATCGTTTCAGTCAGAGGGTCAAAAGAAGTCTATTTATACAATAAATTTCCAAGGATTTTGTTCAAAAGTTTTACTTTATTTTCTCTAACACCCCCGTCCATTTTATGGTATATTCCTTGTGCAAGTAGTCAAGAAGAATCTCCTGATGTGGAATCGGCCTGCGCGTGGCACATTCTTCGTGCCGCAACACACACAGACTCCTGACCAATAGGAATGGATGAAACCGTCTCGTATCCAGGCGCCAGTGCGTTTTTACGCAACAAGCATTATCAAATCGCAGTAGACATTATCGAATGTTAGTACACAGTCATGTTGTGTGTGTCCGAACAGAGAAACTGTCTGAGGTATTTATGAATTGCTCTTAGTTAAAAATGCACGCCTGCAAGGTTGTCCAACATCCACCGAGCGACAATCTCTCAGTATCTGCGTTTCCTTTTTCCCCATCACTGGTGATGAGTACAGATGATACCTGAATGCAACTGCTACACAACCATGTGCCCTGCGCCCGGGCACGGGTAATGCATGTTTAGTGCATATTCAAATGTGTGCAGCATTCAGGTTGAACTGACGATGGTCAAAAGTCATGAAGTAATACAACTCAGCCCCCGCCGGCACCTAATTTAGCAAGAGTTCTCCCAGTAACTTCCAATATACCTTCTTGGTGTCTTTTCTACCTTTTCCATTCTTGAAATCATTTCTTTGACCACTAAACTCAGCACTTCCTTTTTACTTTTACTGTAACCGTTGCTCTGTCATCAAGATCTTTTAACTCCCGTCTTACCTTCACAGCGTCTTCATCTTCCTTGCCTTGCTCTATCCTCCGCCCCATCTCCTCCAGCCACGCCTCCATCTCCCTGACCTCTCCCTGGTACCTGCTCCACTGGGGCACCACCTCCTTGAGCGCGTCCTTTCGACTCTCCGCATCTCCCCGCAGCGTGTTCCAGCGATTGCGGAGGGTGCCCAGCTTGGCCTCCAGCTGCCGGCACTGCTTGGGGTTGTGTTCCTTGGTCTGGCTGATCAGGGTCTCCCCCTGCGCTATCAGGTTTTCCACGTCGGGTTGCAGGGAATCGATGGCTTCACTGGTATCCTGAATGGGAAACCATTAACATTTACCCCAAAAACCGAGTTTGATTTAAATTTCATTTTGGGGGTTTCTTTATACGGTTCATCTCATACTGGGGTTCCTTGCATTTCATGAAAAGTAAATTCCCTTATTTTTCTATGAGATTCCCTGACAAATTTTCCGAAATCAGGATAATTATTTAAACCCATTTCCAGTTTGACATGTTTTCCATATTGTTGAAGATGTTTCAGGTGTGAATGAAATACAACAAGCTGACCACTTTCTCTTTTGGCCTAATCAAATTCCATGACTTTTCCTTGACTACAATAGGAAAATGGAACTCATTTTCCAGGTTTTCCCTGATTTCCAGGGTAGCTGGGAACCCTGAATGTGGTTTTAATCTGTAACACCCAACAGACAGTTTACAGTCTCAATTCTCCAGGCAGCCATGTTGGTGGTCATGCACTGTCATCAGTCCCTTAATGGCATATGTTTCAATGAACACGTTTGAATGTTGTTGATCAGCAGAATGGTTCAGTGCCACATGTAAAAATGAGTCATAAGGCCACTGTTTCAATACTGTTTAAGTTTGCATGAAGAAAAGCAAGCAAGCTCTTTGTTTTGATGGATCACTTATTTTGATATCATAATGAAAATGGACGCTGTTGGGGATAACATGTGGAGCCTTCCCGCTGATTTCCATTGTGCACGATTCTATTGAAAGGCCTACAATCCAAAAGTGGCTCAGGTGACTTCTGGTCCATTTTCACAGAGAAGGTTACATGTATTCAAGAAGAGCTCATCTTTTTTGATAGCTGCAGGATTGTTTTGAAGCACCCATTCTACATAACACGTGACACCAACAAGGAAGACATTTCAGTAGAAACTGATGGTTTCCTCACTATTCCAAAACACTGTTTCCTTCTCTTGAAAGGCCTCAGCCGGCTAGAAATTAAAAATGCCTGAACGGACATTCAACATGAAGGATTTCGTTCATCTTACCTGCACACTTTGCTCAGCATCCTGTTCAAAGTCTTCCGGTCTCAGGTCCATACCGTCCACTAGTCTGTGATCACACAGGTCAATGGCTTGGTTGGTCTGCTCCAAGATGACATGAAACTCGGCAATGTGCCTCTCAGCTTCCTCGTCTTTGCCCGCCTCGCCTGCCTCCTTGTCGCCGACGCTGGCGAGCACCACGTCCAGGTTCAGGGCCCCCTGGACCGTTTCCACGACCTGCTGCTCACAGCGCTCGTCGACTGTTGAGTCCGTCCTCTCAGAGCTGTCCTGTTCCTCCCCGGCTGCCAGCCGGGCTGGGGTGACCCACTGCAAGGTGGAAAGGTCCGGCTGCATCTCCAGCTCCTCGATGGACTCGCAGTGCACAGTCTCATCAACGATCTCCTCCGAGATCTGTGCAGAAGTCTCCGCATCGTCAGGGACACAGGGGTGGTTGGGTGCTGACTGCACAACATCTTCGGTTTCCATGGCAATGGGCTGCTCAACTTCCTCCTTGGGAATCACCTCAGTAGCAGCAGCCTGACGATCCTTGTCCTCCTGTTTTAATCGTTCCTGTTCTCTCTCTGCCTTGAGTCTTTCTTGTTCTTCCTTTAATTTCTCTTCTTTCAATCTTTCTTCCTTCAATTTTCTTCCTTCAATCTTTCTTCCTTCAACTTCTCTTCCTTCAATTTCTCTTCCCTCATTTTCTCTTCCTTCAATCGCTCCTCCTTCAGCCGTTCCTCCTCCTCCCTCTCCATCCTCTTTCTCTCTTCCGCCTGCCTCCGTTCAGCCTCCTCTTCCTCCGCCTGTTGCCGTGCCGCCTCATCCATCTCAGCAATGATGGTCTTCTGCTCCAGCTGCTTTTCCTGGCAATGGAAACACAGGTATTGCAGGAATGTCAGTGACCCTTGATCTCAACCGTGAGGCCCTTTGAGACCCAGTTGGGCTCTTAACGGCCTTATCTGTCACAGCCCCACTGTACTATTTACTTGTCAGAAATTCATAGTGTTGAAATATCAGGGGGGCCTGACTCAATTTGTCAAGGTTTCTCAAACTGTATTTTGTCGTCTCTCCCTTTTTTGTTTCCAAACGACTGTCATTAAAACTCTCCAAGCAAACAATTTGCAAGGGGGGCAAAGAGGACCCCCCCCAAAAAAGAAGTCTGGCCCCCTGAATATTTGGTCTTGGAATTATTTTTGATTATTAACTTAACCACACAAAACAGCACGATTTCTGAGAATACCAGTACTTAAATTAAAAATTTACTGTCACATTAAACTGTTCAAATGGGCCAAGTGAGAAACAACTTTTTCTAACTGCCAAGGGTGACACTAACCACCCGGTCAAATCGACTGGTGGAGAAGTCATTTATCATTGCGTACTGCAGACAGAATTCTGATACAGGATACGATGTGTTTAGATTCCAACTACACACAACAACAACATCTGGTTCTCAGGGCCTTGTGCCCTGATCAGGCCAACGGCTTTTTTTATTCTTTCCTTCCTTTTTCTATTCAATGTGTCAAGTTGTAAACTCCACCCTTTCATCTCGTATTGGCATTTTTTCACTAACAACACATTCCACAGATACCGACATGAAGGGCATCTGATTTCATAACATGCTGGAAAAACACAGTGGACAGTTTGGGTCTCGGTGATTCCCTACACGTCCACAACACTCCCTGACAACTTCCCAAGATAGTTTAAAAGCAAGGCAGCGCAACAAAGTCCCTGTTTATCCAGAACTTGTTTATAGTTGAAAGAAAAACAAATCATTCAACCATTGCAACAAAATCAACTGGTTGACCACAATGAAATGAAACAGGGCAGAAAACACGACAAACACCAACAAAGCGGCACGTATTTTCAATTCTCCACTAATTTACTGCATAACATCCATTTTTTCAGAATCACTTTCACTTCCCACGTTTTACTTGCTCAATGTTTACATTTTTCTCCCAATCACAAATTTCAATGTTTACATTTTTCTCCCAATCACAAATTTCCTTCCAGAAGTAAAAACCTGTATGTTCTACGGGCCGCAAAAATTAGTACTTAAGTGGTTCTTTCACATATCAAGTAAGGAAGCTGTTTACCTTAAAGACACTATTTGCAAAAAACTACAAAAAAAATAAACAAGTGGCGCAGAATAACGATGGTCATAAAAGTGGTTCTTTGAATAACATATTTTCAAGTTCAGCATCTTCAAGATGATTTTGCCACTCAGCAATCTCCCTGTCAAATATTGGTAACGAGAAGCTCTCTCTACTCTATGCACACAAAATCCCTGGAACTGAGATTTAGAGCAAGCAAAGAGCAAGCGAGATAGTTCCTGCATTAAACACACTAAAAGCCATTCCTTGCAATGGGACCTATCCATGAACAATCCAAACATCTACTGTAATAGCAAACTTCGGCCATTTGAACAGAGCAAGCTTAATACCCCTGATAAAATAAGAGACTTTGATAAAAAAAAAAAAGGCATAATCTTTTTCCCTTTATCAATGCAAAAAGCGAAACTGATGTGCAACCTACCTTGGCCCGTTGGCACACGTCTTCCCATCTCTGGTTGAGGCTGATGAGGTCGGGCTCTGTGGAGCGACGGCAATCGCCGCCCAGCCGCAGCAGCTCCAAGGCCTGGTCACGGATCTCTTCAACTCTCGTAGCTAGGTCCTCCGATTCCTCTTGCAATTTCTGTGCAAAGAAAAGGGGAAAAAAACTAAGACTTACAAGCCTCAGAAACATAAAGTCAGGAGACACTCCCGATAGCAAACAGAGTATACCTTTCAAAACGACGAGTAGAAACGACCAGTTCCTCTTGAAATCACACAAATAACAAAAGAGAGAGTAACTTCCGTTTTGTTTCCGTACACCTGCCATACTTCGTTCATGTCTGCCATGCAAACCCGTAAGCCTCATTTGACCAAACTAATTACTTTCCAAACTTCAGTTTTTATAGAAAGACAGGATTCTACCACTTTTGCTTTTTACATTAAGCGGCGGCAAAATTTGCATACAAAGTCGGTACCCACCCTGCACTTGGCCAGTTCCTCTTCACCGACTTTCTCCTCTCTCGGCAGTTTGTCCGAGGCATCTAAGATCCTCTCAGCCTCGGCGAGCCACGGCTTCACCTCACCAAGACTGTGACGGAACTCCGCTATTTGATCGAGGTATTTCTAGAGAGAAACGCAGTAGTTCCAAAACAGATAAAACTGAGTCTCCCCCCCTCAAAACTGATGATACAGACTTTAGATCATTAAAATCAGTCAGGGTTGCAAATCGTGTCATCACAAGTCAATATCTCGCCAATTCACAAGACACCTTACCTCAATATCAGTCACAGAAAATTCAAGTGATGTGTGATGCATGAACTCCATTGTTATTGCTTATTCTCCGTAACATTAAGTCCCCATTCCTTGAGACCTGACTTTTAATTTCACGTGTGACAGACTTGCTTATGACACTGAAATCAGTCCCGCTGTTTCAGTACGGCAATTTCAATTAAAAAAAGAGAGTTGTCACATTTACAAGGCATGCTTTCACTTCGGGGCTGAGGGCATAACTCTTAACCAAACTGGCGATCCTTAGACCACTTGGGGAATAAATTTCTCAGAAACTGATTAGATGCCTAAAAATTTGTTCAGTGATTGGTATTGGTCATGCTCCCATGAAGCAGTATTTCACCTTGAGTTGCAGGTGCCTGTCTTTGACTTGGCCAGACAGCTTGGCCAGTCTCTTCTCTATCTCCTCACAGTCCTCCTTGAGGGAGTCCAGGCTGCCCTCCTCGGCCAAGGCGATCAGCTTGTCGGCCAGCTTCTTGCACTCGCCCATTGAGTTCTGCCGCTTCCTGACGTCGTGCTCCAGTTTCTGCCAAACCAAGTCACAAGAGGCAAACCGTTACATTTCATCCCCCCCAAAAAACTCAAATTTTTCACTGCACTCCATAAAATGAAAGAAATTACCCTTGAATCTTACTTTATGTGTTCTTGTAAAAACACTTCGACATGATCAAACATTTATCATAAACATCAAACCATCGGGAAACATCTTTCATTATTTGCAGATGTTATGAATACAACAGTTTGGTAATGCCTAAGTCACTTGTCAACGTCATATCCCATAAAGTACCAATTTTACTTTCTTCCAGAATCTAGGAGTGTAGGCCAACTTGACCAAAATGACCTGACAGAATTTGGGGAATGAAAAAACTCCAAATAATCCACCGGAGGGGAATAATGACAAAGACAAGAGTTAAAGAATTACTTTCCAGAGCTTTAAACACCTGACAGGGCATGAGTTGCCTCCCAAATGGCTATGATTATGAGAGTTTTACACCAGTTATTTTGTCCAAAGTGCGACATCAGTTAAACCTCTAACAATCATCAATTTGGGGGTGAGAGATCTTGGGGAGCTTTCCAATAATTGGCTTCATCTCCATCTGATATTTAACCCCTCTGATTTTGAAGTTGTTGGCCCAACAATAATTCAAGTAGTGCAACCACAACACCGTACAACAGCAACAGTGCCAAATACTGAAGTATTTCTGTTTAATTTGAACAACTTAAGCCCACATCTGGGGAGTGCTTTTAGAGATGAAGCCTGAGATGCAAAGTACTGGAAAATGGCCTTGAAGTCCGGGCAAACCCTAAGTGGACACTGAAAAAAACATACACATGTGGCAGAACAAAAGGCCCAGCTCACCTTACACCACTCAACCTCCTGATTCAAGCTCTGCGGAGCGCCCTCCGCGTCCTCGTTCTGCTTCCGGCCCAGCTCCGCCTCCCGGGTCTGGCACCACTCGCCCTGGGCCACCAGCTCCTTCTTTGCCTTGCGGCTGAGCGACAGCGCCTTCTCCAGCTCGTCCCGCCCCTCTGTCACCCGCTTGCCCAGTTGGTTGTACTGCAGCTTCAGGGCATTCAGCCGCTCCGTCAGCTCAGCTGGGTTGTCCAGCTGCCGGCGCTCCACGATGCTGCGGCCTGTCTTAATGACGTACTCCACCTCATGCTTGATCTCGCTTAGCGTCTTGTAGAAGCCCTGAGATAAATAGTCATCAGAACTGATGCTGAAATGTAACTAAACAACTCCCAGCAGGATTGTCCAGGACGGCTTGTAATTAAACCACACCACTGTTGACAAACTAGACAGTTTTTAGTGACATTAACATCACATCTGTACAACCTAAAGCAAGTTTCTGAGTGATGCCAACTTGTCAATGACTAGTTGATTTTACCGGGTAACTTAAGTACATATTGTGTCCTGGGTACCGGGCAAAATCAATGAATAATGGTAGAATTGCTGTCAACTCAGCTTGACAGAATCTGTTCAACAATGTACACAAACAAAACTGGGCAAAACCAGTTCCAACCTGTTCTCACTGGATCATAGTTTCAATTCTGGCTTGAGCAAAACTGGCCAAAAACGGTTCCAACTGGTCTAACCTCAATAATGCTTGTCACATCTAAACCAGACAAAACCACTTCTGACTGGTGGCGACTGGATCAACCTCACAATATCTAAACAAACCAGATAAAACCAGTTTTGACCAGTTTTGATCAGTCCTTAACGACCTGACCTACCATGCAGGCATCCTGCTGGGTCTTGATGACCTCTGGCTCTCGGTTCTTGACCACCAAGACCCCGATGCCTTCCTGGACGTTGTCCAGGATCCCCTTGACATGGGCCATCTTGGGCTCAAAATCAGACGGTTTTTGGAACTTCCGAAACTTGTGCTGGAGCTCATCCATGTTTTTCTACAAGACAAAAAACAAATTAACAAAATCAAAGACATCCCAGATATGCGGGGACCTTATCTTCTACAAGAAATCTTTCCTCTATTCACACTGAATAGATGATATTCTTTGTCATTTGGGTAAAGATCTATGAATGCATGCCCAACACCTGGTCGCAGTTTCTAAATAACCCTATTTCCCAAAGTGGTATTCTTGACGTACGGAGGGGAGAAATCTCCTGATTTATTTCTCCTTTCTGATTCAGCCATTCAACTCACCCGTAGTATCTCCACCTGCTGATGGAGCCTCTGATTGGCTGAGCTGCTGGTCTGTTCCATCAATGCGGTGGCCCTACTGTCGATGTTGGACAGCACAGTCTCGTGGGCTTCAAACTCCGACTTCATTTGCTGAAACGACACAAACAAGAAATCCAGTTGGTCGAGGGCACAATAGTTCCAATTCCTGAATGGATTTAGCAAAGATGGAATGTCCCAATGAAAACGGTTTATAAATTAATGAAGGGCAGGCTGAGAAGCAGAGGTAAAACACAAGATCTTACATACAAAGCCAATTTTAACCTGGGAAAATTCCACAGGATGTAACTTCTTTAAATGAAGAGGATTAAAAGCCTGCAAGACAGTCAGTAAACAGATCATGCTAAAACTTAGCAGATGTCTCAGCACTTTTTTATCTTCTGCCAAAGCAATAATTTTTCCTGCAGGGAGCTGGACGGTGAAGCACATTAAATTAAAGAATGTCATTATTGCTTTGTGTTCTAAAAGGGGTTTGGTTGGTAGTCTCTGCGCCATTTGGTCCAAGACGTCAAAGCATACACACTACAGATAACATCACCCACAAAAGGCACCACTGAAGAGAGAGTAAAACAAGCGGAGGACAACCATCAGGTGGTTTTCATTTCAGCAATTGCGGAGTTTGGGATGTTTCCAGCCTACCTCAAATTCACTGGGGACATCCAGGGCAGAGACCCGCGACGCCAGCCGGCCGTTGAGCGTCCTGTCCACGATGGTGATCCAGCTCTGCAGCACCAGCATGTCCTTCTCCAACTGCTGCAGGAGCTGCACATTGTTCTCCAGCCGCTGTTGGCACTCTTTGGCCTAATGTTCAGACAAACACGTACCCTATATTAAGAGTCATTTTGTTTAGTGTTTTATACAAATGGACTAAATGGAGACCTTTGGCGGTACCAGAAACTAGAAATGAGCCTAACTCATCCCTGGTTTCCACAGATATGTAATACAAAACTGCTGCAAACTGCTTGCCGACTACAGTGACCTAAAGTACAAATCACAAAATATGGAGGGCCTGACGTTTCGATCCCAGCGGAATCATATTACCTTCGAGAAAGATTCCACTAGGATCAAAACGTCAGGCCCTCCATATTTTGTCATCCCTGGTTTATTCAAGTACGATACAATTTTCTTAAATATAATGATACACGATAAAGACCGATACCACATCTTCAGGGTTTAACCTGCAAGTCGCTACTGTCATTGAAGGCAAATGTTCACAAGCTCTGGCTACATCCATAGCAATGAGCCAGTTCAGTATTCCAACAGTACAAGCACAAAATGGCGATCGTCGTAGGGCATTAGTGAACATCAATATGAAGTCAGCCCTCTCAGCACGGCTATGTGCAAACTCTCAAGAAATCAACATATTCAAGCAGCGGTGACATCAGGTGCTTTATAGAGAACGACCTTGCCTTTTTGAGTAACCAGTGAGCTCAATGGAAAGAGAACTTTGTTTTCAGTGAAACACTGCATAGGGAAGCTGCATCAAATGTTCATGACAATAAAACTTTGGCTACACTTCAAAATTTGCTCGCTGAATATCTAATCTTAAATGCAATAGACCTCTATCATGGGGCAGCCATCGTGGGTTTCTACCATTCAAAGCATCATAATTAACCTGAGGCTGGAAAGAAAAAATAGTCTCTTCCCTTTTCTCAACACCTGAAGTTAAATTGCTACTGCCAATGGGTCAAAAGGGAACAAGACAAACCTGGCAGCATTATGATAAAGATCTAAGAGGAGGACATCTTACATTTACTAGTTAACAAACTCTGTTCAATTACTACATTGGGAGGATACACCATCATGGTTGAAGCACCCCCTCTTGGGTTGAAAAGAGCCATGTTGGTGGGGAGTGTTCATTTTGTTGGTAGCCACACAACTATGTGGTTGTGTGGCTTCATAGACATTCGTGAACCAGTGAAGTAGAGTTCCCACCAAAGAAGAGTCCCTAGCTAGGAAAATTGAGCCCTCTCTTGGTCCCACTCAGGACAGACAGCTTTTCTAATCTGTCCACTTTGGTGATTTGGCGCATGGACATCTACACTCATGGTGGTTCTAATTCCTGTACCTGGGCGATGACCTCCTTGGCCTTCTGGTTGTAGATCTTCGTCTCCCGCTCCATGGCAGACACCATGATGTCGTTGGCCACCAGGCTCTGGCTCAGCTTGTTGATGCGTTCCAAGTTGTCGACGGCATGCTTCTGGACAGCCAGCTCCAAGGCCTGCCAAACCAGACAAAGGTTGGGTGAGCATGCTAACCTGCAAAGGTCATTCAACTTCAAGTGAACAATTCACGAGGAAATGAAAGCATGAAGGTTGTCAGAGAGAACAATGCACAGTTACCAAGCTTTGCCCATTTTGAAGCATTTACAGTACAATACGCAGTTCCAAAACTTCTGAGATTACAACTGTACTTCAAGGCCATCCCTGACTTGAAGGTGAGTTAAACCAACATCAGGGAAATGGAGGATTCAACTCTGGTGAAGTCCCATGTTATTTGAGCTTTTTCTTGCGGCAGAGCCATCTGTATTTTTCTTTGTTGTTCCTTTGGATGAAGCAGTGGCATCAATGGGGATTCAGCGATCCATGATCAGGTATGGATTCCCAGGCCCAATTAGACTACTCTGAAGGTGGCTCATCCAATGACCATAAACCGCAAGAAAATAATGAAACAATAATAAATTTACAATATTTTTTTCAGCGATTCCAATCTGAGGCAGTTACAACGTACCTGACACACAAAAAGGAAAGGTTTAGAGTGGCCAGTGAAATCAACTGAACACTCACAGGCATTCGGCGACTCCAAGTTATTCTGCAATACCAGCAGCAATCAGACTTGGCAAGAAAGTTTCAGGGGCCAACGGAAAGATGCAAGTGCCAGTCAACGTGGCCAAAGAAAGGCTCATTCCAACAAGAAACCAAGAATCTCTCGCACCTTGCATTTAAAACACATTTTTCCAACAATTTCCATTATCTGTTTTCCCCGACTCACATCAATCTCTTCTGATATCTCCTCGGCGTCCAGGCTCAGGGAGGGATTCTGCAGCTTCTTCTCAAAGCCCTCCATCCACACGGTCTCCTCCTCCAGCAGCAACTTCAGCTGGCGCCAGTTGTCGGCGGCCTCGGCCAGCAGCTTCTGCGCAGAGGCCAGCTTCTCCCGTCGGGCTGTCCAGCGGGCGTTCAGGGCCGAGTACTCCGACGAGAGGGCTGGGGCAGTGTCCGGGGAGGCCTTGGCGACCAGCGCCGAGTGGCCCTTGGTTGCTGAGGCCATGACAGGTTCTTTATCTTTGGCATCTTCCTGAGCTTTCTAGAAGTTGGAAACAAACTAGAGTTACCTCCCACTGTTTGGATCCCACAGCTTTTGGAGTAAATTTCTCAATTCTATACATTTGATCGACAACACAGAATCACTTTAAGTAACAATACCTGATGTAAAAAGAGTCCGCCTTCACTGAGACATGTAAAAACCCAAATTTTAAACTTTCCTAAAATATGACAATTTCCATGACATTTAATACCATTTTTCAGAGAAATGTTGTTTGGTATAATGATCTGGAAGCCTCTGATGGCCACAAGGATTTTCATATAGACTGCAAATTAATCATTATTCCATTCTCCCATCAAAAGCAGTCCATAACCCTTGCATGATCTTCATTCCCGTATGTTTTAACCCTCCTATGTGGAAGTCACTCTTTGGGTCAGTTGGTAAACACCTCAAAGAAGCACAGCTGTGTCATGTTATGCACTGCACCAACTGTCCCTCACAGGAATATCAGATTGCACTTTTGTGCTGCCCAACAACTTTGCCTCACTGTTTCATGTGCATAACTGTGCAGTAAGCCAACTGTAGCAAAGAGGACTGTACCAAAGACCCTGAGTCATTTTGTGCTGGCAACCAACTGTATTCCCATTGAACCTGTGTATCTCTGTGTTTTGTATAGAAAACACCTGCACAACAACGACCATGGGCATTCATGCATATTTATGCTGTTAACCATAGGAGGTTTAATGACTTTTTCCCTCTAAAACAGGATTCGAAAGCACCCTATTTCTCCAATTTCCCTCGAGTTTTCCATAACTTTAAAGTACAACTTTCTTCCAGGATTTCTCAGAATTTTCCACTATCATAGGAACCCTGAAAAGTGTGTTGGGGGAACTAAACAGCTCTCCACGTCGACATTTGAGTTGCTGCATTTATCAAAATGAGACCTATCATTCTACCTACTGATTAAGACTCTCTCAGCTTGCTATAAAGACTCTCGCTTGGGTACATTTCAAACACACTAGATCTTTTGGAGGGAAAAACTGCTGACAAGAAGCCTGCCCTTTCACAGTTAGAATGTATCCCAGAAAAGTGAAAAAAACCTCCCGACCTTGACTTTCTTGAGTTTGTTCTGGATGTCGGTGGGGTCTTGGATGGATGCGTCTTTGCTGATATAGTCCGCTTCGGTCAGGTCCAGCCAGTCGTTCAGTTCCAGTATCTCGTCTTTCAGCTTCTTGCACATGCCGTGGGCTGTCTCAAGACTCTGCAAAGGGGGATGAAAACAGTCCGCCTATCAACTTCATTCGAGAGAGAAAACTATTAACCCCTTCACGGCAGGGTTATGTTGACCGCGACTGCTGGGCTGTATTATGCCCTGAATGGGGGGCTTGGTCCAACAGCAGGCCCCATTGAACCAGCAGGTGAATAGACTGTATGTGTGGTATGCACTCATCCTCACACAATGGTGTGGTAGTAGCAGTCCTCCGTAGCGAAGGGGTTAATGTTCAACATCCTGAGCTGTTTCATAACGCTGTCTTCAATGTACAACGCCAACGCTCAACAAATGGAAAGTGAACATGTGTCATCAAACATGGCTTCCCTATTCTTCCTAGCTCAAATACAAATTCTCATCCATCCTTACGTCATAAAACTGATAATTACGACTACAAAAAGCAAGAAGAACGGGAGGCTTTTGTAACACTTGCTGGAGCCAACAAGTTCAATCCAGTACTGTTTGCATCACGACAGAGATTATATATCAATGTTCAAAATGATGCCAACAGTACTGGACCTGTCATGTGGAACTATACTTTTGCCACCACCGAGCGGTTCGGAGTATCCCGTCCCCAGCCCAGAGTATTACCACATATGGGCATAGTAACCTTTCCCTACTGATACAGGAATATTTGTCCAAATTCAACTTTAAATATCTCAAGTTGGCAGCAATGAATATTAAATCCCATCGGTACACACATGTTTTAGAACGTTTAGTTTATGTCTGTAGTCAGGTATTTTTGAACAGCCAATCAAACTTCTGCAACTGAAATTTTCGTTAGTGTTTTTTTTATTCCATATGCGGCAACGTTTAAGAAAAGCACTCTATAACACGGGAACACCCACACAATCCGTTAATTAAAGGCTGTTAGAAGTCGTCTTGTGATTGGTCAGATTGCATGAGATTTGTCACGTAATAGGCCGTCCAAATATGGCAATACTCCAGACTGATTCCCTCTTCACCAATGTGGCAAGGTTTTTGACGACTGATGAACAAACAAAGCCGAATGACCGACCTGTCGCTGTTCCCTCGCCAGCTTGGTCACCTGCGTCCACTTGGCTTGCAACTGCTTCAGCTCCGCCGTGATGCGGTCCGCGAAAGGGGAATCTCCCTCCTTGGCCAACTTCTGCCCGGTCTCGTTGATGTTGTCCATGTTTTGCTGCAGCGTCTGGATGTCGTCGGTCAGAGCCTGGGATGGTCGACAAACAGTACACTGGCTTCATTTCTCGTCAAGTGGCCTTGAGGATTTCATTTCTGTTCTTGTATGCAATCGCGTGTTCCATCAAAATAAGGTTCCCAGATGGGAGATATTTCAGGATTAGCATGGCACAACCGATTCAGAATATGGCTGACCTGTTTTGTTTCTCTATCACGCCATGCATAATGGTAGGATCTGCTTAAAAGTGAATTCTCTAAGATCAGAATTTCTAAAACGATGTGTATACTGCTTCGTGGAATTTGGTCAATAATTTTTCATTTCAAAAGATCTCAGATCTTATTCTGAGAATTTACTCTGGAGTCATTTTATTTGCAAAAAGGGCCTTCCACGTGTGTCTCCAAGGCTCCAAAAGTGTGAATTTTTTCCGTCCGACTAAATCCTAATGTTGATGAATCCACTCATATTTCTGATATCTCAGAAGAGACAGCTCATCAGTTTTGCTGCGCGGTAATGAAGGCCTGGAAATTAAAGCCTGTGCGTCACACATGCATTTTGACTCCAACAACTGTCAGGAATACCTGACTGCAATCCATCAAGTGATCCAAGCGCAGAATGTGGAATGCCTCCCTCTTTTTAATTTCCTGTTTTCCAGCCGTGGCCTGTTTGTTTATGGCACCATATATTACTCAATGACTCCGGCTAAATGAATACGAGTCCTTTCCCGTGCTGGCTTTGGCAGGCCCGCACCCTTGCGATTTACTGATCGAACATTAAATGATTTACAGGTGTTGGCAGGCAGGAAATAAATTTCAGTGCGTCGCAGGAAAGCTTTTTGGTTTGTAGTCATTTCAGTTGCTTTTACCTGACCAGGTTAGAGTGCTTTATGTTTCTCAGTGGAATACACTGCCTCCATAAATTTCAGGCACTTTCTAGTTAATTTTTTTTTTCTCGTGGATCTTTTGCTGTCATCGATCCAATGTACATCTTTTAGGGTAACAAAACCAGGAACTCCTGAAAAGTGCAGCCTGTAATCCGAAACGTGAAATGCTGACGAAAATTGCAAAAGGTTACGACGCAGCGTCATGTAGTTACAGAGACGAAGGAGAATCTGTGTTTTGACTTGTTGGAGGCACCCACAAATTCACAGACTGACAAACTGAGTCCACAAGGTTGCCAGAGATGGATTCGAACCCAGGTCCAAGGGATGAAAGGTGACAGAAGTATCACCATGCGAACTTGGCAGTCCGCGCCACAAACTTACTGTGGTACAGAAGAGCACCACGTTAAAAATGAGGCACAGTTTCTACGAAAAGAAAGACAGCGTAACTGAAATAGTATTCTAACGTGACCTCTAAAACATCTCCCTTCAAGAGGAGTCCTGGGTTCCAAGTTTGAATTCTGCATCAGCAGTTTTCCATTTCCAACAAATTATTTGGAATGACTGAAGTAGTTTTCCTAGTATCCCACATGCTTTACTTTGGAGTAAAAAGTAAGCGAACAAACATTACCTGGAAAGTCCGAATGTCTGTAAAATCATTTCCAACGAATTTCAAGTCTTGAGACGCCTACCTGTCCTTGCTCCAGCTGGGCCTGGAGAACTTCTAAGTCACCCAAGGCAATTTCCTCAGCAGACAGAAACGTGTCAACCTCAGCCATCCAACTCTTCAGGCCGTTCACTTCATCCTGACAGACCAAAACAGGTCACAGTTAATAAGTACTACACTTGAGGTGACACCAGGTGACACAAGGTATCCTTTGTGAGTTTGCTTCTCAGGTTTTCGGAAAAACTTCTGAAGCCTCACAGTAGAAATACCAGGTCAAGTAGTGTCGATGCAAATGTACGATTAGTGCTGGTCTCGTTGTGCTAACCTTCAAATCTTCCTTAGAAAACGTTAAGTGGAAATATTACCTGTACCTTGAGCAAATGTCACATCTCTGATTACAGTAGCAAAATGCCTTTGGAGAAGGAAGTTTTCCCACAAATAGGGTACTCACTATCGAGGACTGGTTTTGCCAACAAAATAACTGTTGAGGACAATAAGAATCCTATGTTCCCTTTATGAGTCTGTGCTATGTGGTACAAAGCCACACAAGACTACACTTATGAGAGTGTATCGCTCTGAATGCTGCTGACCTTTTTTCCAGTCTGGTGCAGCAACACAGCTGATGTGTACTGCAGACCATCATAAGACCAGACACCAAACCATTCACAAGACCAGTCGCAGGGTGAACAATGACAATGAAATGCTTCGTGGGTAATCCATTTGGATAGCTTGTGGCTCGAATTCAGACCGGAGGTCTTGCGTTGGTCCTGTGGGGTCTTGTGACGGTCATTAGGGGTCTCAACTTCCACAGTGATCTGAATCAACACACAGGCCATCTCTTTGAATGAGATCTGTAGAATGGAGGAACCGCCACTGACCTGCCACAGTTTGAGTTCGCTGAGGGCTCTCTCCAGCTGACCCTGCCTTTCCTCCACCAGAAAGGTCACCTCACCCCAGCTCTGGTTCATCTTGTTCAGGTCATGCTGCAGGGTCTCGGCCTGCGAGGGTGACGGGGCACCAGACACTAGGTCCTTTCCCGTCTTGTTGACAAAGTCGTAGTTGGGCTGCTGCTGCTGTATGGTGGATTGGAGTTCCTGAAAAGATGCAGTGTTGACATTGCAGATTTCAACTTTGCAGGCTCGAGGTCAGTTCATACTTAGTACAAAAGCGCACACAAATGGCATCAAATATTCTCACTACGAATTCACAGAAGTCAAACACATTTCAACTCGAGAGATATTTTGCAGCACATCTTTCTTGATGTCATCTTTGCTTTGCTTTGCTTTCACATCTGCATGTGGTATGAACCAGCCTTTAGTGTTAAAGTTAGCCCACAGACAAATCAACATGTACACTCTCCAGTTCTAAGTTTCAAACAAGGCTAAACTTCAATTAGAGGGAACAAAAAGAATGCAAATATCCCTCGAATTCAAGAGGCTCTGGGGTCTGGAGCGGACAGTGACGTCAGTAACTTGTCAAAAGCAACTTAAAATTCCACCCAAGATAGTAAGATCTTTTAACACGTTTTCACAAGCACTGATCACACACCACAAGGGTCATAACTTAAAAGTGGAGGACAAAAACCAAGGGCAAGTTTGAGTGATGACCATTTTCGCCCACTGCTCAATTTTTCCTAGTAACCTGATCAAAAAATATTTGCTGGGTACCTTGCAAAAATCAAAATGGTTGACGAAATGGTTGTCATGTGAAATGGCCACAATACCACACTCATACTACCAGTACCTTCACCTCAAAATGCCATCAACAGAGCGGAAGTAATCATCCGACGACTCAGGTAGGATTCGAACCTCTTAAACTTTCATACCTTGTATTTCTGCAGCTGGTCCTCCAACTCATCCACCTCCGTCACAAAGAACTCCTCTGACCTCAGCACCGCCTCCACGCTCTGCAGCCACGACGTCAGCGCCTTCATGGCCTCGATGTAGCGCTGGGGTGGGGCGCAGTCCAGCGCCCGGCCCAGCAGCTTCTCCTTGTCCCCCAGGGCGGCCCGGGCTGCCTCCCACGACTGGCGGAGGGCCTTGGTCTCCCGCTGGGCCGAGCGGGAGATGGTGGCGTCGCCCGTCAGGTCCTTGGAGGTGGCCGTGAGGCGCTCCAGGCGGTGGCTGTTAATGGTCATCTCCTTCTGCTTAGCCTGGGGAAAGAGCGGGTTAAGGTGACTGAGATTGAGAAATGGGGCAATTGAGGGTAAATGCAGGCTAGCAACCTGCGGTGTCTACTTAGCCTGGGAGTGAAGAGTTGAAGTGACTAAATTCAGGCTAACACCTGCGGTGTCTAAACGTCATATTTTACCTCCTCACATTTACCAAGGCACTTCTGCTGCAAATGAATTGACAAAAGAGGTCCCTTTGAAATGCTTCAAAAAATAACTAATTTAAAAAACAATAAAAGGCAAATTAGATTTTCAACTTTCACGAGCATAAAGCAATTACATAATTCTAGATGGGTGCTCATTAATAGCGGCTTACTGGTTTGATATTTACAAACAGCCGAGTACAAACAAGAGAACCTAAACCTTAAGAACCAAAACTAAAACTTTCCAATTTTCCTCAAACCCCATTCAAGAGGTTCTTTTCTTCCTTGAGCATGTACAGAAACACAGTAAACTTCCCTATTCATTTCTGAAAGATTTCCACTTACATCAATTTCTCAAAGCAAAGAAACCTTGAATGCCAAAGGAAATCAACCAAATTTGAAAACCTACAGATCTTTCACAGCTCTAAAATAAAAGGCAAAATTAAACAAATGGTAACTTGGGGTTTACCTCGAGGTTTCACAAGGTCTAAACAGGACTTAGTGGGGTACCTCGGAGAAAACTTCGAGTTATCCCCTGTTCACTTTTTCCATTCTTCCTTTCGTGCCTCACCCTGCACTGGTCTAGCTGGGCCTGGATCCCTTGCAGGCTGTCGGCCACCGTGGCGTGTTCCTCCAACCAGGCCTGGACCGACTGCACCACTTCCTGGACCCGCTTGGACTCGTCGCTAAACTGCTTCCGCAGGGAGGCCTGGTCCAGGTTGCGCTTGCGTCCGTCCACTATGACGCGTACGTCCTGCCAGCGCTCCTGGAGGTTCTCCAGCGAGTGGCGGATAGGCTCGGTCGAGGTTCCCTCTGAGGGAGAGAAGAGACAAGGATGAAAAGCACAGTACGGTAAACTGCGACAACCTTAAACGTGTGCATAAACAGTCAATATTTCACCTGCCGACATCTAAACAGAGAAATGATGTACAGGACAAATCATGTCTCCAAATTTTGATGTCGTATCTTTCAATGCACAACTTCTTCAATCACAGTATGTCCGTACCTGGTATTTACCAGGGTCTTCCTGCAAAGGTAAAGCTGCCAAAGGAAAATTCTCTTCATTGCAGGCTTAGAAAAACTTTCATTTCAAACTCCATTTGTTACACTCCTCACTGCTGATTGGCTGATTTCATACTCCAAAGAAGCCTTTTTGACAGAAGGGTGAATTTCAACTAGTGAAGTCAATTTATTTCTTTTCATAAAGTGTGCAAAATTAAGACTCAAAACTTTAAATTTGAATAATGAATGCCAATCTGGTTTATTGATAATAGTTTAGTAAGTTTAATGTTGGTTTTGGCCATCAGTAACTTAGTTGACTGCTAGTTTATTGAGACAAACACCGGTTCTTACCTAGGCGGGTTTGAGTGATCAGCTTGTTGCCAAGCTCCGATACATTCTTCACCCGGGCTTTCCTCTCGTTTAGATCTCTCTCCAAAGTCTGTGGGGGACAAACGAGACCCATCACAATAAATTACCAAGACCAGAATTCCAGCACTATGGTGCTACTACAAAAGCAGCAGTCTTGCTCTGTTTAGCCACCCAAGTCTCGTAAGTTTTTGTTTGCCTTATTTTCACTTTATGCAATGAGTCTTGTAAAACTTTTCTAGAAGAGTCATTCCTTGAATCACTGAACACTTAACAGTTTCCTGATTATGAATACAGAATGCTGGACAAATACTTTGAATATTTCAAGAGCTGCTACATCACACAGAGTTCCTGTAAAAACTACTAACATCAATTCTCAGTAAAAAATCTTTTAAAAGCTTTTAAGTCTTATATCCAAACGTTTCTGTCATGAAAGTTGTTATAAACATGGTCCTGATGTTCCTCGTTTGATGGAAATACAAGACTTACACTGTAAAATTTCCTCTGCTCGTCCAGGTTGGGATCCTCGGGCGAGGGCTCACGGGAAGACATCAGCTTGTGCTCCGCGTCCTCCATCCATGACACCAGGCTGCCCAGCTCGCCGTCAAACTGCCGCTTCAGCTGGCTGTCCTCGTGGGGCCGCTTGTGGGGCTCGCTGGCAGGAGCAGGGGTGGGGGCAACGTGGACGGTCTGGGTGATGGTCTTGGTGACCTGGGTCTCGGTGACGGTGCCACCCGCCTCCCCACGGTAGGTCTTGGAGGTGGTGGTGCTGCTGACCGCGTCGGTGATCGGGATGGCATCCAGGTTGATGCCACTGTCAGCGATCTGGCGGAGGTCAAGTATAGAAATGTTTAATGGTCAATACTGGTGACTTTCTCTGGTGACTGTGAGCTCAACTGGCATGGCGGTTTCCAACAGTAATCTGGTTTTCCTTCTACCGTACCCATTTGGAGTGCATTTCCATCTGCTGGACCACGCTGTCCCATCGCTGAGAGAACTCGTCCAGCACCAGCTGAATGTCCTCCACCGCCCGGTTGTTCTCCTCTAAATGCTCCACGATGCTCTCGGCGCTGCGGTTAAGCTTGTCAAACTCGTTGCGCTGGATCTCCAACTCCTGCTCCAGTATCTAGCAAGAGGAAGAGAAGAATTCCGCTAAGCAGAGGCAAAGAAATTAAGATGTCATGCAGATTTCTAAGTGACAGAATTAAGCGCAAAAAATACTGGTTATAAAAAGCACCCAATTCTACGCAAGAGCACAAAAACTAAGCTCTGGAGCTGCTAAAAAAACGCTAAGCAAAGAAAATATCTGCTGATTTGAAATTGCGCCTCAGATTCACGTCTCTTAGTCGGTTTTGTATTGTGAGACATTCCGTGAGATAACACAGGCATGAAACCTGGGCTTTGATCAAAACACGGAAATTCCAATCTTGACAAGACTTTGCACAGTGTTTTTTCAATTTTCAAGGGCATGAGTGTGAAGTGAAAAACAAGGAAATCAGTTGATCCGAGGAAAAGCTGCGTGCCTGATAACATGGTGAAGAAAGTCACATCAGGATGCGGCATTCCTCATTAAAGCTACTGTTTTAGTTTGGTAAGATTTCCCCTAGCAGTTGCGTGCAACGGGGCCCCAGTTTCATCAAGAACCTTTCACTGTGACGTCCAGCGTCTGCTGGATATCACCCACCCCCTCACCTTGAGTATCTTCACCCTCTCAATGGCCCCCCGGGCATCCTGCACGTCGGCCAGCCGCATCTGGGCCAAGGTGGACTCCTTGTCACTCAGCCAGTCGCTGAACTGTCGCTGCTCCTCGGCAAAGCGCTGCCAGTGGGCCCAGATCTCCTGCAGGACGGCCCAGCGTTGCTCGGTCCACTGGCAGACCCGGGCCCAGCGCTCACCGAGGCTGGTCAGCTGCTCCTCAAGGAGAGCCGTGGCTGGCGGGAGAGAAAAACGGACAGTTGGTACTTATTATCATGTAAGCGCAAAGATGTCGGAGCTTCAAACTTTTTTGAAGTTCTGGAGTACTCCTATCAACATTTGCCGACTGATTATGACAGGCTAATTTCAGTGAAAAAAATGCATAATCATAGCACGATTAATTAAACTTAAAACATCATCTCTTAACTTAACAAACAGTTGGTGCTAAATGTCTTATCTCAACTAGCTCAAGGTAAATTGCCGCATGGTCACTAAAATAATACAAGCTGTGAAAAAGCTATTCATACACTTTCTCAGAACAAAGCAAAACCGAGATACGTTTTTGCACTGACACTGCAATATCAAGTCATCTGTGGGAAAAAAAAGGGCCCTTCAAAAACTCATCCCCTGACAGCCAGAAAAGCCTAATCCAAAGTTGATGTGACAGCTTTTGTTTCTAGACAAGCAAGGTGCTGACTGATGCCCAAACCAATGCATGTCCGCACTCCGCCTACCATTCTCTGGACTACTCTCATCCACCACAACCACCATGTGGGTCAGGGAGTTGACCTGCATCTGCTGCTCCTCCAAGGATTCTTGAAGCATCTGTCAAGCAGCGGAAGAGAAAAAAAAAAAAAGCAGGACCACGGGGTCAAGAATAGAACAGCTTGTTTACATCCGAGTGAGACAAGTACTGGCTTAGAGGTCCATATCTGTCCATCTTAGACTTTTGTACTTGTGAGAAATACTCCAAGAAGCACATTTGTACATCTACAGACAACGAAACTTCGTTTTGCCTACTAGTACCAGATGAAAAAAAACACAAGTAAAAACAAGAACCAACTAAAGCACAGTTCTATTTCAAATAAAAAAATGTGGGTATGTCTAACAAAAAGAGGTCAGTATTTATCTATAAAGTTGCTGACACTCAACTATCACACTCACATTAACCCTAACCCCCAAGGGTATATGTAAAATCGTATTGAAATTGAAGGATTTGGGACTGTTAGGGTTAAGCATCAAACGGGTGATACTCACAACTTAGGGACGCAACTTGGAAGTCAGGGATAAAACAAGCAATTTCCAAGCAGAACAGAGACTTTGCAAACCGTTTTATTTGAGGAATAATATGGCTCAAGTGGGAGCTGATCTGAGAAAAAAAAAACTGCGGCCTGAGAGCAACTTTAGACTGATGCTTTTCTTCTCAACAACGGAAGGTTGCCTCTCACCCTGTGTTCTTCCACCTGCTGGCTGATCTGGTCCAAGTTGCTGCCCATGCCCTCCTGCCGGCCGATGACCTCCTCGGTCCGGTCCAGCCAGGCGGCCAGGTCGTCCAGCTGTTTCTGCTGCAACTCCATCAAGACCTCGTGCAGTCTGCAGTTCAAGAACCACACGAGTGTAATCACTTATCCTGCTGTTCAATAATGAATATTTGACTCTACAAGGGGTCAAACTAAAAATCATTGTAAAAGTCCTGGATCTATTTCATCCCAACCCTGTCAACCTGCTCTATCTCTGTCTCTGATTGTTAGACTTCTTGTTCAGAATCCTTAGCACCCCTCTCATTCTTTCCTGCGTCTGTGGATCTTCAAATTTATTGACCTGTCAACCAGCAGAGCTACTATCCTGATTTTCCCATACCTGCAGTTGAGCTCCTTAAAACTCAGCCTCCATTACCTCCGAGTCTTTGTACATAGTTGGTCTGTCTGTCCACATCTGCTGTCCTAAATTTTCCCACTGGCTCTTTGGTTCCCACAAACGTAACCCACATGATCTCGGATTTACTTGGTCTGTCTATCCACAGCCATAATCCTAAAGGCTCTCCTAGCGGCTGTTGGATTTCCTCAAGCTTAGCATGCACAGCCTACATGGAACTTACTTGGTCTGTCTATCTGCAACCATAATCCTGAAGGCTCTTGGAGCCATTGTTGGATTTCTTCAAGCCTAGCATGCACAGCCTACGTTGAAATTACTTGATCTGTCTATCCACGGCCACAATTCTAAGGCTCTCCATGCGGCTGTTGGATTTCCTCACACCAAGCAGGCAAGGCCTCAATAACGTGAACTTACTTGGTCTGTCTTTCCATGGCTGCTATTCTAAGGTTCTCCCAGCGGCTGTTGAGAAGGCTCATCTGCTCCCTGATCTCGTTCTCCTCGTCGTCCGTCACCTTGTTCTCCAGGATGAGATAGTTGCCTTCTTGGAGGGCGTTGCCGACACTGTTCTGGTGGGATGTCAGCTCCATCATGAACTCCTGCATTAGAAAAAGTAAACATCTACCCTAGCCCTTAAGGTAACACTGTTGTTACATAGAATCACGTTGCGTTCATCTCGGTCAGGGTTCAGGTGCAAAGCTCAACTAAGACCATGACAGCCACGCACACCATCAATAAGAAGCTGCTTATAAACTGGCACATTTTACCTACACAACCTTCCTCCAATAAAAAAGTCTTCAACACTCTCGAGGTCCCATCTCTGAAGGTGCGGCATTGTCCTATACTAGTCCGTGTACATTCACATCAATTTAGTCTAACCATTTTACTAAGCCGACTGTGTCAATAGGGTGACCCACCATTCCAAAACCAGTCAATTCTCCCAGCAGTTAATTTTCATACTTCAAGACGATCCAGTTTAAAGATATAACTGTCTGCATAAAGGTTTTTTGCATATGGCTTACAGGCAATTAAAGTTGCGGAAGTTGCATTATTAACATGCACAACGGTATCGGATTCAAGAGCCGCTGATTTTTTCAGCCTGATTTCCGAACAGTAGGTCACGCACAATCCATAGTCAGTAACACCTCACCTCGTGCGTGTGGAACTGCTCCTTGACTTTGTCCACGTTGTTCGAGATGGCACCCTGGTGGCTTAGGTGGTCTTCAGCTTCAAGCAGCCAGGCCAGGACGTTCTCCATGTTGCCTTGGTAACTCTCTATATCCACCTCGCTCATGTCTGAAAAGGACTGCTGTGAAACAACCCCACAATTCTTTACACAAGGGGAAGCAACGATCAACGGATTGGAAAAGCAGGAACTGGTTTTCTACAACAAGTTGGCATTTAATAATGGAAAAAGGAGACCACAACAGAAGAATCCAAAAGCATTATGTACAAGTTCAGATATTAAGCATTTCTAACCAACAACAAATGGATAACAAAGATTGAAGGAGAGAAGAAAGTTACAGATTCAGAATTGTTAAGATCTTGACTGCTAATTTCCAACTAACACCAAAAAAGATGCTTTGTGTGACTCAGCTTACGGTTTCTGATGAGGGAGTGACGGGCGTGTGATCTGAGGAAGAGGTCTTGCCAGCCCCGGGCCTGGTGTGTCCCGATTTACTTGATATGACTTCAGTTTGCTGCGACAGGACTTTGAACATGTCGATCACGTAGATCATGATAGATTTCTTGTCTGGGAGCTCAACATTGATATCTGCACATGGGAGGAAAATAATTCAAGAAAAGAAATATCCAAGAATGAAAATGTGGGAATTTAGCATAACACAAAAATCTATGCCACTTTAACACGTTGACTGCCGCGCACAATTTCAAAGGGGCATTCCCCTTCATCAAGCATAGTATGCCTGTGCATATTTAGTAGGTGCCTTTCAGGTGTCTGTTTGAACATGAGCGTTTTACAGATGTACATCAGATCAACACTGCCAGCAGTGCATTTGTTATGCTCTTCATTGATGCCAATGTACCGTATTCAATTTACATGACAATAGCCTTTCTTTTCCTACAAGTATACTTAAAGGCTGAGTTCGGGCGGCTTGTTCTCGTTTGTTCACAAACGGCTCAATTTGTTGCTCATGGGTCGGTCACTCGAACGCCGGGAATGTACAACCGGTTATTAGCGCTAGTAGTTTTTTGTGGCAAGCAACATGGCAGTGTCCATGTGCATTCTTCGAGAGTTAATGTTGGATAACTGGGCTAACTCCTTTTCCAGTTGAAAAATTCATTTCTGTCATGGAAAATTATTAATGTGAACTTTGCAAAACTTTCTATTGTTTTCAGCTTTGTAAAGCCATATTGCTACTTTTTGCGGCTGTTCAAAAATCAAATCTCACGAGTTTTTCTGTGTGTTCATGTAAAATCCTGACGAGGAGGTGGTGTGTGATCCTGTTCCGAGAACAGTGTTCTTGGGTCGTGTTCCCACTGTTCAAGTGCGAGAACACGAAACCCGTGTCAAGAACCGACCGCCCCAACTTGACCATGGTGGCAGAATTGAGTACCCACCTGACTATGAGTATTCCCGCAGTCGGCAGTCAACATGTTCAAACACAATGTCATGATTTTCTAACCCTGGTACCATCCCACATGCATGGTTAAAATGCAGTCACAGTATATTAACTGTCACAGAAACTATACCCAATTCTTATGGTATAGTGTACGGTGCATCAGTCAGTTGGAAGAAAAAGATAAAACAAAGACTCAGCCAATACCCTGTTTGAAAGCCACAGTTCAAACTTTGTGCAAACACTGACATTACATCATGGATCAAACAGTCATTAACCCAACTATTTCTCAACCACACCCACATGAGGATTCAACATGCAAAATTGCTAAGACTACGCAAATTCAGAATTCCATTTAAATTCAGAAAAACGTCTTAGTTAAACCCCTTCAAGGCAGGGTTATTTTGACCGCGACTGCTGGGCTGTGGTATGCCCTGAATGGGGGGCTTGGTCCAACAGCAGGCCCCATTGAACCAGCAGCTGCATGGTGAATAGACTTTATGTGTGGTATGCACTAATCCTCACACAGCGGTGCCGTAGTAGCAGTCCTCCGTAGGGAAGGGGTTAACCATCTCTATACTATATATGTAATATTTACGATTGCTTTTAATTTCCAGCTAATTTTTATTTCCACCTGATATTTAGTTCACTTGTACACTCTTTTGAATCAGCCTCAGGGCCACTGAAAGTTTTAATAAACCAGTGAGAAGGAAATACACCAAATAAGGAGTACATGTATTTTCATGTGTGCATATAATGTTCGAAGGTGAGCAGACCTAACCGAACATCTGTTACAGATGGAAAGAATTCTTTAAGATAACATAATCCTGACCAATACTGACTCCTAATCAGTCAGCAGCCAAAAACAATTGTTTTCCTTGCCAGGGATCCTAGAAATCAGCTTCCCGTGATCAGGAAAGGCTCATGGTTTCTAATGGAGATGAACTTGAAGACATTGATGTAGTGGAGGGGATTACATGGCCAGACATGTGATCCCTCTGCCTGTCTGGGGTATCAGCACAACAAATCAATCAGGGACTGCCAATTTGTCAAGAGACCTACAGATAAATAGACTCACCTAGGCGACTCCTGGAGCAGAATGCGAGATTCCAAACTTGATCTCGGATTACCCATTCCAGAATCTTGAAACAATACCAGGGGGCAGCCTGCGAAGTCATTTGATCAGTAAAACGCGGGCTCCCCAGAATCACTTTAATTGGACCAAATTGGCACTTCCCTCCCCCCTTTGGTCTCGCGATTTGTCTCTTAAAGGGACAAAAAGTCCAGGAAAACTTTGCCGATCCAAATTACTCCAGAAAGGGGTCAAAGGTTAGGGACTTCATGGGAAGTAGCTCTGGTTTTTATACCAGGACAGCGCCAGACATCAAAAGCGACATGAAACTATGTAAATTGCACTCGGCCCACAGAGGGACGTTGTGAGCTGCTGCCAACTAAGCATACCAAATGAAACCGCACACACTAAGCAAGATTATGTTACATGAAATCAAACCTGACAAAAGTCATTTCAAAATGATTATTTCTGTGAAAGCCACTGCATTTGAAGGTTATTACAGCCAATTCCTGAGTTAAATTGAATGATAACCATCGAAGGATCAGAAGCAAACAACAACGACAGCAGTAATTCTTTTACAGCACATATACATGTACATGCATGTGCGTAAATATGTAGAAGTAAGAGATCACGCATTATCAATATAAAACTATAAATAAACACTAATTACCGAAAATCGGCCACTTGGGAGACATTCCCATAAGAACGTGCACAAACTTTACTGTGCAAAAATTTTCTGTCCCATAATTAAATATTCCTCAATCAGATCTAAACCCAACTTTGTATGCTTTCAATGAAGACTCTAATCTATCATCTCTCAAAATTTGGACATTAAAATTCGACCTCCTTCTGGTAGATGGGGCATTAAGGAGACATTAAAATGTCTCCTTAATGACCCATTTGTAAGAATACAGCATTATATAAGACACTGTGAGATTGCTTTACTGATGGAACTTTGTGTTGGGGAAATATAACTTTCCATACTGGGTGTCCCCATCACGAGTTAGTGACTTTTCATGACCACTCCCAAATCAATGTTCTGCAAGACTTTCTGTGCAACAATTTCACAAGCATGCACAGCTAGGACTGAGTAATCTCTCATTCAAGATCTGCTTTGGTTCAAGAAGAGCGGACAGCTGCAATGTCCTTTTCTCCCCCCAGCTCAAGCTTTATTTGTAGCCCCCTAAATCAAGTGCCTCTCGGCCTTGCAACGTCAAATTCCTCATTTTGCCCGCTGGAGGCTGAGCCTGCACTATGTTATGTCCTCAATACGCCACATACCTTCGGGTTCCAGATATCGGTGGACGTTGAACTCCTCATGAGCAATGCGGAATGCATGCTCCAGCCGGGCCTCGGGGTTGAGCTTCAGGAGGGCGTCGTAGTCAAAGAGGTTGGGCCTGGGGGGGGAGGGATGGTGGAGAGGGAGACCGTGAAGATTAATCATTCAGACTGGACAGATAAGATCTAGGTCTGTCCTAGGTTTTTGCCAGACTACCCATACCTTAAACTCTCAGAAATTGGTTGATTCAATGAAAGTTATAGTATACAAATACTGACTGTTGACGGTTATCCTCCATTTTAGCCCAAAACATTCACCTCAGAAGGCTGAAAGTAGCTTTACATATACATGTACCATACCAAACAACAGCGAGTCTGTTTATATGTGTCTTATAACACCTAACTCAAAAGTTTTAAAGAGTTTAGAAAAACTAAAAACTCATGCAAATCTTTTACAATATTTATTTTAGAGTAGTCAAAGTTTGAATCCAAAGAGACTAACCACAGCACCACACCCTAGTAAAACTCTTCCCCTCTTCCAGACGAGTAAAATCCAACTGCACTGTCACAAAGGATCAGTCAACGCGTATCTGTACTCCTCCTAAACCCTCCTCCAGAGAACTGAGATTTCGTTAGTGTGGCCAAGGATGATAGAATGTCCTCCTTACAATTGCCAGGGCATACCTGTCGGTAACCCGATAGCATTATCACCACATGCCAGGCGGCAGCAAAGACGTTATCGCATGGTGTGCTCACCTGTACTTGTGCAGCAAGGCGTTGAAGGCCAGACCATCGCGCCAACTCGTGGTGAAGTTCCGGACGTCCACATTCCTGTACCTGCAAAGCAAGCCAAATGATAGTTTCAAAGTGGATTAATAAGATGCAACTGTGAAATTGTATGGTTTGGCTGGACTTGTGAAATGGACTTGGCAAAAAAAAACAATGCTCAAATTGAAGGCCAATGAAATCTGCTAAAGGTCTTTAAAAACCACTAAATTATGTTTACAGGAATTCTGTACTGACAAAAATTTAATTACACCTTTAAAGATGCAACAGACTCAAAACAGCCTAGACCTTGGCCTATAGTATGAAAATACCAACCAGAAAAAAAGCTTGCCAAGTTTATGCTTTCAGAAAAAATTGCTAGAAAACATGTTAAGGATATTTCAGGTGGGAGATCACTTCTATGCTTAGTATGATTCTGGAAGTGGCCTGTAATTTCATAATCGGGCAGGTATGCAGCTCCAACTTTTTAGTCCTAGAAACATCCCATCCAAGACAACCCCTCCCACTTGAAGTAACTCTGCGGCACGTGTCCAACAAGGATCTTTGTGGGTCTGCAAAAGAGCCTCCGACGGCTCCTGTACACAACTAGAAGATTTACCCCTGCGTTGTCTCCCGGCACCAGTTCAAGACCGTCTTCTCGGTGCTCGTTTCTCTGCTGCTGTCGCTCATATCTGCGTTCAAAAGTTCTTGCGCCTGCAAGCCCAAGAAAATCCGCCAAAGCATTAGGGTCCTTTCAGAACCTGAAGTTACCTAAGCAGCAGCATTATCTGCAACAACAGTAGCCTTTATCATCCTTCACAGCTTGTTTTAGAATCTATCACAACCATTTTTCTGTCACTGATTTCGAATGTGGAGCTTGGTATACAGTACATCTTCTGGGACTATTCCACATAAAATGTAAAATGTAAAATCACACTTGCTACCGACCCATTCTGTATGAACACGTACTACATAAGCAAATTGAATTTTGGGGGAGGTTATCTTTTATTTTATCGTTCCTTTCATCAACTGCTGTCCCTTTTTGCATTTAAAATATAAATTTTCATATGGTTAAAAACAAGAACATCATCAAATACGCGAGGACATACACCAGCAAGGGTAAAAAGGTAAGTGCACATGGTACACCAGCCCTCACTGACCTACTTTCATGCTCATGGACTTGCATTAATGTGGAACGAAATTGCACAAAGCTAGGTCTCCTCTGCAACTTGAGTCAGCCCCCCTCCCCAACCACCCAGATCAATAATTATTCATTGGTTACAGTTCCCCTGCATGGTTCTAGCCATCCCCCCATGCCCAGCTGATAAAACCCTACTAGGTTATGCGCATTATCCTTCAGGATGTCTGGGCACCACTCACGCACCACGGTTGTAAGCCATGTCAAAATCATTGCAGCCAACTGTCAAGCCACAGCCTTGTGATCTGGACATCACGTAACTTTCCACGTGAGAAAGACTGTTGGCCAACCATTGCAAAAATTCCAAACCACTTCAAAAAAGTTAGCAAGGTACCAGCACCCCTATGTTTAAATAGCCTGAAGGGGCATACCATACCAAGCTCATGCCTGCAAACAGAGCAATGGAAACACATCAGGCAGTCTGTTTAAAAAAAGTCTTTAGGTTTACCATGAAGGAAATTTAGCACCCAGTACAGTAGCTAGTCAACATTTCATTTTTGGGAGCAGAAATGGGAACAGCTGTGTGTCCCATTTCACAGAACTGGCACTGCACACAGATCTACTTGGAAAATTCCAGCTCGTTAAAAGTCACATGAGAACTTGGTAAAAGAATTATACACTGCGTGACTTATAGGCTAGTCTAGAAACCAACTTGGGCTTTAATAGCGAACATTATCTGTGCGCAAGATTTTTTTGGTCTTATCAAATTGGTCCTTGATCCAGCATGTGCCTTTAAAGATGGTGGAAATAACATTTCACTGCCGGAGTTCCGACCGGCTTCCTGCAGGCCATCTCTGGGAATGGGAGGAATGCGAGGATGAGAGATTTGCCGCTGACCCGACCCGGGAAGTTACCGAAGATGTGTAGCCAAAATATCATCCCGCCAACAAAAATTAATGTCGATGTCGAGATAAGGTGATAAGAAATCGTGCATGCCCCAGTATTTCCTCTCAATGGGTCAACTGTTACGACTGCCTGCTGTAGTCATTTTGGACGCGGCAAAGACAGAGAAGATGGATGAAAAGGAAAGGGCACTTGAGACGTGGTCAAAATATCAACATGCCAAGACAATTATTATCAAGCCTCAAATAGAAAAAAAAGGGTATCATTGTTTTGATCTTCAGAGTGTCAAGAGCAGACGACTGTTACTGAGAAGGATTTAGTTGCAGAGAGAGAAATGCCGACCTTCTGATCTTGGATGCAGCAAAATGTATCGCCAGTCAGCAATTTGTGTTTTGGAAAATCATGCTGCTCGTCATTTGAATATTACTGAAGCTTAAATTGATCCACTGTAACTGACAGCATCATATCTATTCGTGAGGCTGGATCTGTGGTCAACAGTGTAATGTGCAGGACAAACTGAATGAATGAAGTACCGTTTGGTTTGATTTTTAAGACAAGATCCTTGAACTTTGATTTTAAATGGGGATCATTCGGGCAATCTTGAGCAAGTCCAATCAGTGACAAACTGTCGACCAATCACGTTTCATCACCGATAGTTCATATCTGCACTGCATCACGTACCGTATGTGTGCTACACACAGGCATGGAAGCAAATACAAAAAACAACTTCTTTAAAAAGAAAAAAAAACACACACACACACAAACCCCAAAGGTTACCCCTTGCTGATTTAGTAAACATTGAATGGTTAAAAGAAATGCATGCGAAGTGCATCTCTCTGCAGAGGCTATGGATTTCCAGTACTGTCAGTCAGGCACCGAATTGTGCTCCATATGGAAATCCCTTGCATGCCAGATTTGGCATTCACAGAGAAACGGCCAGGAAATCACCAAGCCTTGTCAGTAATCCCTCAGGGGAGGGGGGGGACCGCATATTAACAGGTTAATTGAGGACGGTGATTTTCCTTATTTTGTTCTTCAGAAAAGACTGGTGTTTCATTTTGCTGATTTTGCTGATTTAGAAAGTCCTTCTTTGCTGTGCTTGTTGGGTCCATGATACCTGCAACATAGGTTACAGCTTACGTTTGAAACTTTCATTCAAAGAAATCGTTTCTATGTGAACACTGCTCACAACACAAGAGGGTCACTAGACAAACCCCTTTATTAAATGTAAAAGATGTGGCACTAAACTGTCTCTCTGTTTCATTATTCATTGAAATTATTTCATTATTTGGTATTTCACCATCTTTTTAAACTTTTTATAGCAGGATGATTTCATGTGTGCAACACTTTTATTTTGTGTGGGTGTTTTTTTGGGGGGGCAGGTTTCATTAGGGAGCAATGCCTCTCTTCATCACAGATTGTGAAATGCCACTAACTGAGGAGAGAGAGCTGAATGCTAGGCACAAATCTGGTAAGCTGCCTCTTTGTCGACAATCTGAACTGACACCCTAGTCACCCCAAGGCTAGCCGGCGTTCAAGTGCAACAGTAGACGGCCAGTCTTGGCAGATTGGAGAGTATTCCCCACCCACTTGCCTGCCATTCACAGCAGAGATATCGTCTCCAGGTTTTCAATTTCTCAGCCGGCCAGCTCGGGAATTTTCCAGATCGGGTAACCAAAAAATTGGGGAGCAATAAGCTGTCCTGCATCTTGCATTGCAGCAGGGTTAACGTTCTGGATTTATAAACATCTTATCTCTACTGTGGTACAGTGTTATCAGAGCACAGGCCCTGGGCGGTCTATGACAAAGTTCATTTAAGCTTTGAAGCTTTGCATGCAGTGTATAGGTACATGTACGTTGGAAAATGGAGAACTTTTGACAACAATGTGCCCGTACATAAAAGTATAGGAAATTATATTCCACAAGAGTAATCCCCCTTGTATGGAGAAATACATGAAATGGTTCTGAAAAGAACTACACTGTACTTGGTAAAGTTGGCAAGCTCTACTTGGCAAGTTCTACTTGGCAAAGAACTTGGCAAGTTCTACTTGGCAAAGAACTTGGCAATTTCTACTTGGCAAAGAACTAAGCAAGTTCTACTTGGCAAGAACTTGGCAAGTTCTACTTGGCAAAGAACTTAACAAGTTCTACTTGGCAAAGAACTTGGCAAGTTCTACTTGGCAAAGAACTTGGCCAAGTTCTGCACAGCAAACCTGGATGTCTACAAAGCTAATAATGTCTCCCTTGTGAGTGACATTTCGGCAACGATTTTGAAAAAAAATGTTACTTCCCTAAGTTTTCAAAATCACACGTTCTCCCGCAACTTAGAGCATTATCACAACACTGGTACAATTAGACACCCCCCTCCTAAAAAAAGGAAAAACTAACAATTACCCCAACAGGATACCTAGTATTCATATCAAGTATGCATATCACATACACCAAACAAGAGAAACCTGATGACGGATATTTTGCCCAGACACGGAACCTTAAAACTATAATCCAAATTTACCGGTACATGTACAAGAATGCATGCACACCAAACATATCAGTATGTTCCGTCCAGTTACTTCCAGGCGATTTATGCACGTGTACATCAGTATGCTTGTACACATTCGTACATGCATGGCCTACATTTACTGTGCCACATACAATATGGAGGCTATACATGTCCAGGCAGGGTACATCTTCTGTACAATGTATGTGCTCACATGCCGTATTGGTAATTACCCCCCCCCGGGTACTCTTGCGAATGCAGTAGTCAATGCATGTACATGTGCGAATGAATGCAAAACAGATGTAATTTGATAAAGGGCAACTGAGACCCACACGTATTTGGGGGGAAAAAAAATTGCTCATATGCGCACATGCATTATTTAATATCACAAAATGCCATCGGCAATTTAGCTATTGCTGGAAGTAACGGTAATGGGAAATTTCAAAGAAGGTATGTAGGCCTTATCTTTAAATATAATCTGAAACACTACAGTCAGCCAATTGTACATTACACACTGAACTCCAATAGTAAGTACACGTACCCATGAGTACAATGTCCATGAACATGCACTACGAGTATAAAGCCAGTTCCAGTATGGCGCTTACGCAAAGTTTCTACTGGCTGTGTGCACCAATTTAAGGATCTTTATTAAAAACGGTTGAAGACCCAGATGTTTTTACAAACCATATTCTGTGGCATGTGTAAACTATCAGTATAATCTACATTTCTAAACATACCTAAAGTTGCTGTAAATTTCCAATCCGGCAGTCTCTGTATGTGTTCCTTCAATGCTGTATCAAACAGTTTTTATTCAGTACCTGGCGGTAACACACTTCAGAAATCTTTAGAAACATTTTTTTGCCAGGGACGTACACTGGGGTTTTGTCCTGAATTTGACAAGGGGGAAGTGCGCAAGGCAAGCCCAATTTATCACTGTCATGTGCAGTGGATATTCAATACAGAGTTGTGGTGAGTTATTTGACCTTTTGGCCTCTCCTTCTGGGATGGCATTCTAAGTACTGGTGTCACCGAAAAATGTCAACAAACCAAAGGCACCATTACAGTGGTAGGGGTTGAACCTGGAGTGCAGGGGAAAAGTTTAGATGATGGTGTTGGTTAGAATAAAGAAAGTATGTACATGTACATACATGTACAGCGTATACATGTAGGTGAGGGCAGAGTAAGATGCCAGTAGGGCATTTCTTGTTAGAAAACTACCAGGAGGTTTTGAAAAGGTTTTGTGGAGTTAAAGAAAAGAGAACTTTGAGGCTTGATGCCCTTGAAAGTAACAAGTCTATGTTCAGGATCCCTTGAGGATTTCTGAAAGATTTGGGAGTGTTCCCAACAAAATTGACTTAGGGTTTGGGGCATATTTTACCAAAGATATACCAGTATTATATTATTTATGGTACAGTGTTCACTCCATAAAAAGCTACAGTATTGTGATCTATCAAGCTGGTACCGTAACTGGGCACACAGCCATGAGAATTTTTCCAAATTTTTGGAGGTGCACATTCATCGAATGCATACATGCACAGCTGTCGGCTGCTTTTTGTTGTTAAGTCTTTGCGTTGAACACAGATGTTTTATCTGCATGCTAAAGCGGTCAGCCCTGATCAAGCAAATGGAGTATACCCTGATATGAGCTCATCAGACTGTTTATCCGGCGTCCTCGGTGCGTAACAATCAAGAATGTTTCCCATGTCAGCCTTCCATGCATTCATCCTTACGAAACAAGATCGGCACTTACTGAGATGAGTGTGTACCGTGTACATGTACCTCAACACCCTTAAGCGCAGGGGTAAGGCAAGTCAGGTTGATGTGTCTAACATGCAACACAAGTCCCGCAGCTGGATTCGAACCCTCCAAAGATCAGCAAAGGTCTCAAATGTCACCCAACAGATCTATCTCCAATCTGGACCACTGGCACCATGGTCGTTTTCCAATACTCAACTTCGGCTCCATCTCAGGCTTCAACTGTTTTTTACTAGCTGACTTTAAAGCTGTAAGCTCAGTAATTAGTCAAATAGTGCCACAAAGCATCAAATAAGATGTAAGAGAGCCAAACATTACAGTAATTCAATGTAATTTAAACGCTTCAGGCCCACAATTGGGGATTGGTTTTGGGAACGAACCCCGAGACGGAGACGAAGTTGAGTATTGGAAAACGGCCCATAAAGTAACAGCCTATTTGGTCTTAACTGGTACTTCAGAGGACATACATGTACATGTACAGTCTGTGTGCATAGGAGATTGATTCACTTCTGGCTTTGCTTTTAAAAGTACATTTACATCACACGTATTATTGGTTTATTATTGATCTGGAATATTTCGATTACAAAACAAGATTCCCACATGACTCCGTCGCAGGAAACAGTGTCCTTCATTGCTCTGGTTGCAGAACCACTTGACAAGAAAAGCAAACGTATCTCCTATTCTGTCGGTCATGTGAACTGATCCATCAAAACTATAGATTTTCTTTTTTCTTTTTCTTTTAAAGAGACTGGAAGAAACGTGAGCCATACGGTACCTGCCAATGTGAAATGATACTCCAGACCAGCCCTAGCGTCAGCTTTGGGTTACCATCCACGATGTCATTGTTGCTGATGTTGACAAGACGAACCTGCAAAGGGGGGGGGGGAGAATGACAAAGACAAGACTAAGAATGACCGTAGAATCTCAGGAACTGACAGCGCCAGCATCATCTTAACCTGAAGGACACTGAAGTTAGCTTCCAAAGTCAATCACATCAGTTACATCAGTTTCCCTCTTCTGGTCACGTTCCTTGAAGTGCCCCCTCCCCCCTTCACACTCGTGTCTTCTATTTCACTGTGAGAAAACTCTAAAGTACGGTACACAGCCACCCAGTGACATCTCTGATTCCTTCCAGCAATGATAACAATCCCCACACCGGCAGGGAATTATACACAAGAAGTCATTGATTTTGGCAGTTTCCTGCACCCAACAAGTGGAAATCAGCAAGTGGCAATGCAGTGCCCCTCTCTCTGACCTTGTCCAACCACTCCACCAAGATAGTAATGTCACACTGGGTTACTGCGAACTACTTTTGATGACAACCAAACATAACCCCAGCAAAGATAAAAAGGGATTCCTTTCAAAACTGGCACTTTACTAGGAACTGGTCCAGGTTCTACGACTGGATTGTTAATGTGGTGTAGTACACAGAGGACATTCAACACTCGAGATCTTTATTTCAGCCAGGGACTGTCCAAGGTATCTTTTGAGAGCAGCAAGTTATCTTTGCCGAATTTTCCACTATTTTTAACATGAAATACATCATTACAGGTGAAGAAAGCATGTTTAGCCCTGAACCGGTACATGCGCCTACATTTTACCCAGCAGCATTAATTCTCCAGCAATAACCACCAAAAGATTGAGACTTTGTTCACTATAATTACTACTGCAAGGATAAAAACTAATTTGTTTTGGATGACTTTTATTCACTTTCGCTAGAGGAGCTCATAGAAAATTGCAACTTATTAGAGCCTCAAGCACCAGTTGTCTATTAAATTCCAGCTTGTTATTCCCTGATAAAATTGACCAAAGATAAAGCCCATTCCAGCAATCCAAAGTTCTACGAGATATTTCTCCAGATGGATTTTTCCTCTTTTCTTTCCAAACCAACTATTGTAATGCAGAGACAGGATGAGGTTGGCTCCCAAAGTTCAAGTTAGGGTGACTCTGCACCTGGGGTCAGAGGTTATCTCCGGTGGTTGCACTCTCTGCAGTGGAATTCAAGCTGATGTCTCTGAAGATTCCCATCGAGTTGCCAACACCAGCCAGCGCAGCGATAAATGGAAAAAGTGCAGTGTGCATAATCTGTGCTCTGATAACTGTGTGCCTACCCTGTACGCATGCACAAGCATTTCCAAACAGAGAAATGACAACTCACTGCGAGGAGGCCAAGCATACATGTACATGTTCTCGAATGTGTAGGCCTACAGGTGCTAGGTTTTATAACACAATTTTATGGCTGGTAACATTTACCTGTTGTTGGCTTAGTATCTGTAGAGCTCTGTTGACATTGTTCAGATGATGTAATCGCATATGACCCTTTTCTCTTTTCTGTGAACAGAATGAAAAAGGATAGGATTTCAGATACACCTCTGCAAATTTGTGCAGGTTCAGAAATACTTTCCTTTTAAGTTACAAACTCAATCGTGGGTTCAACAACACGCACCTGAAATGCATGTACCATAAGCTCAAAATCAAACTGTACTACGTCGTCAAAGGTGGGAAATATTTCAAGCCCAGCGGAAAAACATTTTTAATGAAGATATAACTTGACAGGAGAGGTACATAGAAAACGGATAAAGAAAAGAAGACACTGAACAGTGGAAAATCCTGAACACAAAATGAGGGTGTTTGGAAGAAGAAGCTGTGGAGGGAGGAGAGGGAATTTCAGGTGGTGGGTTTGAAGGAGACAGGGGTCCAGGCTTTAAAGAGCTGCTTGTGGGGTTAACATCAATCTCGTGGATCACACTTACTAGTTTTTGTCCGCAGAGGACCTCCAGGAGAGAGAGAAGGTGGTTGCCGTCCCTCAAATCAAGGAAGAGGTCGTTCACAACCTTGCCTTTTTGGTCCTGCAAACAGAGGTACAATTACTGTGACTTCTACTTTTTCTCAGTGTTCATTGCTTGCACTGTACCATTTGGCCAGACTTGGAGTGTGTCGTTTGATCTGAAAGGACCAGTGGAATGAAGATAGACAATACTGACAGCGCATATTAAAGACTTCATTTGCAGGCATCTTTGGAATTCTTTAACCTCATTCATCGCACTGCAGAACACCGTAATCAAGCCACGATCTTGGTGTAAGGGGTACTTTTAGAAAACTCAGCCCTCTGCTAACAGTGACGGCTACTCTGGTCTATACAAAAAAACTAAGCTACATGTACCGTACATATGTACATTTATATATTTTTGCTATTGATGCGCACACAGACCTGTGAAATTTCCAGAGCCATTCATGTTTGTTCATGTACGTGTACCGGTTCATGTAGGCCTACAATTCACGTACAGGTTTATGCGGCAATGCATTATATCCATGAGGGACTATCGACTTCTATTTATTACTAAACTTTATGAATATCAAATATTTAAACATAAATGAAATGGTCACTAAATGTGAGCCAATTACAATACTTGTCTCTGAATTCACTTCACAATTTTCAGCAAGATTCCATGGCCATGGACAAACTACACGCGTACAGCATTACCTCATGTACTTCGTTCAAAACACCTCCAAGCAATGTACTAGTACATGTACACGGCGGACTGTGCAGCAAACCAGGGCTGTGGTATTATGTTTGTTAACAGGCCATGAGAATCATGTCATGGTAAAAATGTTCAGGCATGCTCCTTATCATCAACTGCTGGTGCAGTGGGAACATTCCAACGGGGTCCCAAGTGAACCTTGGGACTTCACAAACAGGCCGACTCTCATCAAGGACAGGCACTTTGCATTGCTCTCAGGGGTCCATATACCCCTCTGCCTTTTCTTGTTTCCTGCTCCTCCGTCTTCCCTTTCTTGTTTGCGCAAGAGCACATGCATTTCAGACTTTTCTTCCCTATGAAAGAAATTCCTTGTGAGAATGCATGCATGCATGTATCAGAGCAATCTCTGTCCTTGGAAAACCCACTTGCATAATTTGTGTGGTAAATAAAAATCTCAAGGCAGAGGCCAGGCTCTGTCCCCTGGACCTCTGCTGCAGAGGGTCCCTGGGATGATTTACAGCATTTGGCTGTAAAAAAATTACGAACTGGGCCGTCCACTTCAAACAAGCCAGAGATAAAGCAACACACCTCCCTTGACATCCAAGTGAACTACAAAATACACATAAACATGTGAGCATCATACTCGTATTTCGTACATGTCTCATACATGTACAGATACACAATGCAACCCATTGCTAAATGCTTTCTATGGAGAGACCTTTTGTTTTTTGGTATTTTTTTTTTCAACGATACCGGTTAGTACATGTCAGTGTACATCTGCCATTCACATCATACAAATTAATCTGAATATATACTACATGTACCTGCAAGGTGACATGTACAAAACACATGCACACCACACTGTGCACATACAGCGCACAAAATGGAGAAATGCTAGTACATGTCATGTACATGTACACATGGTAAATGGCACACTGTGTTTGATACACATTATGCAAAGCATTCATGCATCCTTGGTTGCTATGGTAACCAGGAAGAAATGGCAGCAATAAAACCAGCATGTCTCACAGAGGCATATTTGTAGCTTGTGTGACTTAGTACAGGTACACTGTACATGTATATATCTGGCTAACAGTCTTTTCTAATAATCTGAATTTCATCCACTCTAAGTTAACCAGTAAGTAAAAATATATAACTTTCAGAACAGGTGAATCCAGTTTAAAATAATGCTCCTTAAGTTACGCAAATCATCGTCATTCTCTTAATGCCTCAACACCTCCATGTGTAACTGAAGCAAACAATATCTTGTTAAAATAAAAGACAGACCACTTTAAGGGTACACTGCAGTTCTGCATCTCCTTGCTGCTATAGCAACTGGTGAGGAGACAAATACTGCTCCTTGATGAGGATGGCATCTCCAAGGAATTCTTGAGAGTTTTTTCTTGTTCTTCCCACGCCCAGTCAAGATAACCTTGTCAGCATCGTCACTATCAATCACGACTCATCACTGGCTGGGTGCTTGGGCCCTTTCAATATTGATTTGTGTCCAGAGGATCCACACGTATATGGTACGTATGTGACGGTAGCTGCATCCTTTTAGGTTGCACTTCAACAGGGCACATTTATCATTCAATTATGTGGCCACTACAAGGAACCACATTTATTAAAGAGCTTATTTGTTGGCAGCAGTTCAGGAGAAAAACTGTGAGCATCAGCCGTCCATCACTTCAATCCCTAACAAAGCATATATATATGCAGATAGCCATAAAGCCTACATGTAGGTCACACTTTCACAAGTTTAGCTCCAATAGCCCCTCCCCCTTCCCGATTTATCAAGTCTTGGTGATGTAATGTAGGAAAAGTGAACTAATATTCGAACAATGTTTCTTTAATTCCAAATGAATTAACTGCACCTACACTGTACATTCACATATACTGGTAATTAAAAGCATTTAAGTAAAATAAAACCTTTTTTTAATCCTTTTTTGGTTGCACCCATTTACATCCGTGTACAGGTATTTTGAGGGTTATCACATGTACAGTGTACATAGTACAGGCACATGTGTATGTAGTTGACACAGACAAAAGACTGACGTGATTTGTTTCAAAGCAGAGTGCACCACTGGGTCGCTGCAGCATTGTTGGATTATGAAGTTTCTAGACAACCTCAGCGAGTAACCTTCAATGCTCCTTGACAGTCAGAAAAGTCCCTCTGCTGTCCCCATGAACATGTACAAAAACATACAACATATACTAGGATGTGATGAGTGTGCTCAGCCTGTGCTCTGACCCAGGCTGTGACCCAGTTTGTTGGGCAGGACAACAACAACTTATTCTAGCCAGCCTACTTTTTCCTCCGAGCAGCAACCCATGGGATCCACAGGAAGCAGTGGCCTCCGTAAGCGGTTGCCTCCTTTCTTTTGTTGGTACCTGTAAGTGTCAAAGGCTAGCCACACTGGGAAAACCTGCTGCTGTAACATAATACATAAGTGGATGTACAAAAAAATGGGCTAACTGGCAGCAGTTGGGAATATTCAACAGACATACATGTACATGCGACAGAAACGTACATGTACGTGTTCAACGAAGGAGAAAATAGGAATGTACTCAGAACAGTGTCCGATTGAATCATGCATGTACCCGGTACTGATATGGTGATTTTTGATCAACCCTCTTCACGGACAGCGATCCCCTTTATGGACTTTGTTATACACTCTCATGTTGAGTCACAGGTTTTCCGTGTCATATTTTGTTAAATGTTAATGACCAATGTATCTGCTGGTCCTGGCTCCACGCACAGTGGTATTAATCACAAAACAGTTTCTCAAATTAATAACAAACTCACTTGGTTCAACATTGAGAACCACAGTACTGTATCTAACGTAGGTACAGTGAATATATCTATGTACAATAATACACGTAAAACACACGAGGGCTGCTGTGACTTCAGACATTCAAAAGATAGCGGAGTATCTTAAATAAACATTGCTGAAATGCCCACTGTACCAGTAAAATATGTAATACTGTACGTAATGTCCATGCCTGTAGGCCAATATAATCGGCCAATATAATCCACTACTTGCCAATCATGCAATACCGGTACATAGTCGCATACAAATATATATTCGCCTTTCACAACAAGTACAACGCACACAACTCCTAAGACGAATTTTGCAAATGGTTTCCCACATGCAAAATGTTGAAAAATGAACAGGTACTTAATAGCCAGAGGCTATGAAGTACTAAGTTTTTATCTATACATGTACATGTCCCAGTTCATGATATAACGGTATCAACCGTAAGCTACTGGAACCAGTATGTGGTCCAAATCTGCATTCCAGTCCATCACATTCTATACAATAAACAAAGTAGCTATGTCAAGTCCGCCACAGCAGTGATATACTTTCTACCCTCCCCCGTTACTTCCTATGATCCGCCCACTTGGAAGGATACGCATTTCTACGTGTAGCTACTTACCCTGGACAGCTGTGAATTCAGCCACTTGGTGAAGGTTTTCTTCTGAATGTCCTCCCGCTGATCTGTAATACACACAAGAGAAATAAAAGTTTCCGACGATGAGTGACGAAATTTCTCAATCCAGCAAACATCCTGGGGCAATTGCCTAGAGTCAAGCACTGGTCATGTACGCGGATGAGTTCTGACTCATTCCTTTGTTATTGTCAAGCCTGGCCTGTCAACTGAAAGTCAAGCACTCCAATGTGCTGTGTGTACAGTAATTGCATTAACATAAATGTCAAGGCGTGCATGCTTCTACCAGTGCAGTTGTTCTGTTTTGTCATCAGAATTTCAGTGAATTCTTGAGAAATCATATCTTGGAAACTGTCTTTCTGAAGTCAATGAAAATGTTGTACCAGTAGATGTTTGGGAAATTCTGAAGGATTTTTAATCAGGCAACAAATCAATATTCTGCAAACATTTTTAGATTTCCTTCAACCTTAATACATGTAAATTTATTCACATCATCGAAACTTTACTTTTAAAAATCATATTTTTAAAAAATCTGCAAATTTTGAAAAAACTCAGTACCGAGTAGCTACGTAATTTACAGCCAAAGTAAATATACATGTACATGTATCAAACAAGCTCTGCCATACAAGCAGTCCAAAAAACTAAAAAGAAATGTACATGTATCAATCCCCCCAAAGCCATAGCGTATACATGAACGAGGCCTCTACACATGATTTATTTTTGAAAACCTATTACACTTCCAAAAATATCTACTGGCCTCGGGTACAGCAAGTGCAACTAGCAGTGCATGGACACACAAATGAAGATTGTCAACTTCCACAGGTGCCCACAGGGTTGCTTTTATTCAGGCCAGTCAGGCTGGTTTTGGGCAGCTTCAATTTGCTTCCCTTCTGAAGACAGCAGAGTATTTGTTTTATAGAGCACCCAGACATCCCATCCAGTTCCCCTGGCGAATCCCCCCCCACATGGTGTAAAGTGCTGAAAGAATTCCCCAGACAATTGCTGGGGCTTATCCCCCCATCCCAAAAGGCCCCTTTGCAGCACAACAAAACACCTTCAGAAATTTGACAGTTGTCTGGGTGATCTCCCCTGAGGGCCCTTCTCTTTTTCTCACACTCTTCCTTCCTTGGCATCTTTATTTGTTGGGCCTGTTTGTGTACAACCTGACAACCTAAATTTGCCGGGCTGCTGTCTCGGAAGCAATGTAAGGGGGATAAGAAAAGTGAACTAGGCAAAACAACTGAGTCTCACAAACAGAGGGCAAGTGGCCATTCGGAACGCAAGCAGGACTCCACAAAAGTTGTGACAGTACCACTGCGTGCATGTACAATGTACAGTGTACATGTACATGTATGTACCCCAGTAGATGTGCATCACATAGTGTATTAATTGTTTCAACAGAACTTCACATGCAAAATTCAGGAATTTTACAATATTGAAGGCATGGGAGTGCACATGTACTCCATGTACATGTATGTACTAGTACATGTAAATGGTATGAATTAAGGCTGGTTCATACTTCAAAAGTGAAACAAATTCGATGTCTCACAACATTTGCAGCAAAATTTGCTTTGAGCTCAAATGTGTCCAACTTTTGAGAATTTACAGAATGAATCTGATAGAGTGTTGTTCATATTCATTTTCACGCCAATTACGGTACATGAACGGTATGAACCACAGTTTGGCAAGTCTAAGCATTTCGGAGGAATGTTAAGCCTTTTGTCAACCTCATACAATTTGACATGTACATGTGCAGTACATGTACTCTCTATTTAATGTACACTGCACCAACTGGGTAGGAGTCACATGCACATACACCGGTATAGTGGCTTACACATGTTCCGGTATTTGCAAAGCTAGTAATACATTACAGGTCTAACCACAAAATCCTACAGAGAAATCTAAATGTCTGGATGCGGTGTTGATAGACCAACAATGTGAGATGAATTCACCAACTTGTGTACACATATCTAGTTTATGTACACTCTGCAGTCTTCATGTACACACATGCACTTGATTTACTTTGGTTTTCTCAAACTACAATGTTTGGCAAGTACACATAAATGTCATTTCTGCAAATACTTGAAAGTCCAGATTTTATAATTCCCCATTGACATACAGTGACAAACATATATGTAAATTGCTTGATAGTAAAGATCAGCCAACCAGGATAATGCCTGCCTTTCCCATCTTCATTACGCCCCAAACACTTGAACAAATCAACCGCAAAAGGCCAAAAAGGATTCTGAATCTAATTAAACAGAGACATTTTTCACTCCGTTGCAAAGGACGTGTATCGGTAATATTATGCAAGTGCACGCTTTCAGCCCACCACACTCGGAAGTTGTCACAGAGTAAAGGCTTACCCCGTGGGTGCCATGAGAAAAATGGAATGGAATGACAATCCTTAAGGTTGAAAGCAGCAGAAACTATCCAAGAACAGGCAGGTGTGAAACCTCTTTATTCCTGTCACCCATTTCAAGATACAAATGGACTAATGCGTTCTGAGTGAACACAAAACAACTTCATCTGCTGCACTGCATTTCACATGTACGTGGACAAAGACGCGTGGTTTAATTTAACTTGGCATTCATAAATTAAAATAACGTGAACTGTTATCAGGGTACACATGTACTGGTGTTAAAATGTACTCCTACATACATACATGTACATGTATGCACAATGTGAGCGTGAGTCCTCATCTTTTCACAGCTCAACCATCGAGTTGAAAAATGTAACTTCTTGGTGTGGTGCATGTATTTTCAGCCTGTGGTATGACTGAACTTTTCAACTTCAAACATGAATAGTTCTTTTGACAGTATCGTAGATCTCTCTAACAATACTCGGCACCAACAAGCCCGCATATTATGCAGGTAAATGGACTTTTATATACAATGTACATGTATACATATATGTACTGCGATAGTACGCTGAACTGTGCATGCATGGCCATTCATTTCAAGAATTGCCATTATGTACACGTACAGTCCGGTTGGCATATTGGCTCTTTACTCAGCTTCCGCCTCTATGGCCCAGGTTCGATTCCCGGCTTAGTCCACATGTGAATTGCATTTTCAGACCCCATCTTTATTGTTATTTGGTAGATTTTTACCCAAAACATTTTCCTCTGGGGCTTTCCTCCCAACTCTCAAACTGTAACTGCTTCTCACTGTCTCCCCTCTTCAGGTTTCGTCAGGCTTCTTCAAGCTACAATGCCTAGAAATCTTTGGTGTCATTACCAGAAATTAAATAATAATAATACCATTGTCATAACATTATCAAGGATTGTGGTCACATGGTATTCCATCATTTCAAATTCCTATAAGGGCCTCAATTAAGCACTTGATGTGCATGGTTGGTTGTACATGTACGCCTGTGGTCAATTTACGTTCCTGTTGCCCGCATATTTATCAATAAAGCCAATCAGTGTTTGACCACTCCAGCAGGCTCAGCTTCACAATGGAAATCAATAATCGGAACAAGCGGCTATTCTAACCAAAGTCAACAGCCGCAACAATGGGCTCCGACATTCCTGTCAGAAAGTCCAGTCACGGAACCCCCCCCTCCCACGCCAGCTCACCAAAGCTTTGGGAACACTGTTGCAGGCTGGGACCGGTCCCATGACCTTTGGCCAAGTTTGCCCAGCAATGATTGTGAAGGGTAACTTAATCATTCCACACACAGAAGATACATGTACAGTATATCACTAACAGGAAAGTTCCGCGGCGTTGCCTGTATATTTTAAACCAAAGCTGCATGTACATGTACACTGAATCACAATCGTACAATGTAGTTGATGCTGATTATCTGGAACTTTTCCAAGTCTCTGGTTATCTTACCAATAGAAGGGTATACTTTTGAAGTAAACCTCTCCTGCATTCACTCAATGAAAATTAAAGGAGAAGGCTCCTCAAGATGGCTAACTTTAACTGCCAGGAGTGCTCAGCAAAAAGAATGCCTATGTACTAGTGGTACGTGTACATGTGAACCATTAACTTGAACAATGTTTCCTATTAATTGCTCTCGGGGCATGTAAAAAAAAGCTTTGATGCAACTATCAACCATTTCCATAAACATTTGTGCTGCATCTAAAAGAAAAATCAATTCAGAAAAGTGATTGATCCTGCCATGAATTGACCGTTCCCACATCAGCCCCATCACCACGGCAACACAAGTGGGGTAATTCTTTGGTCAGGTCACTGAACTACTGAGCATGACTCACGGGTGTTAGGGAGCAAAGTGACCTACATGTACAGTACATGCATTCTCTACTGCCCAGGCTTCCCACATTCTGCCTCCCGCCAAGATAAAAAATAGCCTCCAACCAGAGACTCTCGGAACTCTCTTCCAGAGAGTTCACTCTATGTTTTTGGCTTTCTTGAATAAAGTGCTGACAGAATTCCAAACGCTTTCTTCATGATTCTTGATAACGTTTCATTATTACAACTGTTTTTTGTTTCAAAGTTTCCACGTACATGTACTGTATCTTTGAAACTCAACAGGACAACACTATTCCTGGGATTAACTGCACTTCACAAATGGCAATGATACACATGTACAAACATGGCAAAAAATAATCAAAACAAACGAGATAGGTGCCTGGAACAATCGGGTTCCAACAGATTACAAAATCTTAAGAGTAATAAGTTGAGGTTTTCCCGCTTAAAGTGCACATGTACCGGTACATGTATACATGACGCACATTCGACCAAGCTGCCCAGTACCACTGAAAGCAAGCTGACTTAATTGCATAAAGTGTAGTACACATGTCTACTACACAATCTAAATTAATTTGCAAAGTGGTGATTACATGTACATTGGGCTGGACCACGGATCCACTTCTCACTGTCCTTGCTCTCTCAGTCCATTCATCTGGATGGAGATGCCTTGAAGAAAACTAATAACTGTCAACATGTACCAGTCAAGCCAGGCACACCTACTGGGTACATGTCTCTGGTAATTCAATTAGTAAAAGTTCCATTGGGGTAATGAAGAACACAGTGAACCAGATATCGCTGCTGTTTTTCAGACCGGCGGCTAAGCCGTGTTC